ATCAGTGCAGGATCGATTGCTGGGTTGGGGTTTGGAAAGCTGGCGATTGGAGATGTCTGGCACCATTGATCGGATATGCACGAATGAGGATGCCGACGCAAACAAGGAATTGGTGGACGAATTGTACAAAAAATGTCTAAGTATGAGGAGCATGAGAACATATCTATGTTAGAACTAAGATTGTGGAAGAAGGAGTTGCATTATATTAACCGATCGGGCATCGGGGGGGATATTAGCCCCGTCGGACGGGGCTATCCCCAATTTTACGCATTCGAAATAAATGTACCACACACTCGTATAGACGTAAATGTTCAACATCATCAAGTTTTTCGTCCTGATCGAGCGAAAGTGCCTAGTTCTAGCCATCAATTGCCTTCACCACCAGACTGAAGCCACAAATTAGATCTGAACTACCCAATTCTCCATAAGGAATAACGATCTTTGGATTGGAGCTTTCGATGGACCAATTTTGGACTTCGCAAAAGGGACGGCGCTCCAGAAAATATATCAATCTCAAGCATGACGGGGCTCTTGTTGACACCCATTGGAAATGAGACAATGTGGCTCCTGTGATACTGATAAGTTTTGTTGTGCTCCCTTTCCTAGACTTCATATTGGGGAAGGAAACCCCGAAGCTCGTTTCATTTTGGAGCAGGATGAAATGCACTGATTTCATTACAATTTGCATCCGACACGAACGATTCATAATGTGTGCGGTAGGTGCAGATTCAAGCACAGAGCACACTTCCTCCGCTCATCATGCATACTTAATCTCTTAGGATAGTGGGTTGGAAGGATGATATAAGATGGGACTACTCCCAAATGCTCCCTCTTGTGGATCAGTGGATTCAAAATGTGCTTGATCAGATGTTGCTTCATCTGCAGGAGGTTCGACGCACTTTCACCATCCATTGTATTGGGATAAGGAATAGGGATATCGAAATAGTAAAATATTCATTATGCAGCAACGGCTGGGCTATGGGTCCGAGTCTAGGAGGCCATGGAGCGGTCGACTTCAGCCATTTGATTATTGCATAAGGAGCCAACATAACCTCTATCTAATGTAGTTAGACCTATTGCAACCCGGATGCGCCCATTTCACTTTCCAGCAAGTGTATAGTCCGCATCCGAAGTCATAGTGTATACTGGCTTGTGCTCTTTCAGCTTTGGTGACTCGGACGTCAAAGCCAATGCAACCAGATGCTACAATCAAAGTTCCAACCCATCTCAGTCTTTTTATAGGTCTTTGCCCTTCTCAAAATCTATTGGTCGGTGTATTTAAGGATTTTGGCTAGTGCCTGATCATTTGCAAATGCTTGATATGTGTTTGGCCAAATTTGTATTAACAACAACATACTCATAGGCAGTCCTTTGCTTTCTATCACCAAGTCTCTTCCAAGTATATCATCATCTAAAGTTACTAGTATATTCTAGGAGAAATGGGTACCTCATAGCACTTGCATGCCTCCTCCAATTATGGAAAGCCAAATGATTGCTCACTATATTCAACGAAATAGACAGTTCCTTGTTGAAGGACCCCACCACCCAGCTCATCAATCCACTTTATTAATTCTGTACCAACCAATCCAAAGTCTGGTTCATTCCTCAACATCTCATCACTTAGCCGTGTACATTTTCATTGTATGCAACACACTGTAGTGGTTTCACAATTGGGGGGGATAAAGTACTTGAAAAGTTTCCCAGCAATGCTGTAGTGTTGGAGCTGAAAGCTCAACAATCTCATTTGCTTATCTGGAAAAGCAAGTAGTTTCCAGCTCAAAGATAATATAGGCGGGATTCGAAGTTGCCACAGTTTGATTGTTGCCTTAACGTCATCGTCGAATGCTGGCTTGACTTTTTGCTTGGAAGTTTGGCAGCAAGTTTTGGGTTCGCATGGGCATTTTGAAAAATTCATTGTGCACCCGATCTTCACACATACACTGCATTTGGGCAAATTGTTTGGCTCCCTCTTGGGTTGCATTGGTGCAAATTTGTCAGGATATGATATTGATATATGTTAGATATTATATGCGGTATAATATTTGACTGAGGTTTTTGAGATTCCAGATTCCTTGGTGAAAGTGAATTGACGCGACGACCAACCAATAAAACGTAGTGAAAAGAATTGTTCATTCTTTTCAGTAAACCATCTAGATTGATTGTTGTTGCAACTTTGATTGAGTGCAGAATAGTTGATACTATAGTTATGGAACTGAAGTAGATAGTCATCAGTGCATGTAGACCTGATTGGTCGCATGGACAATGCAGAGTTAATGACTCGCATCTGAATGATTATTTTGAAGATATTCGTCCTATTTTTTATTTCTAACAGATATACCGGTACGGTAGAACTGCTCGGCCGCGCGTGGGAGGCGCTTTTGCTTGTATGGTACACAGTTGACGATTAACAGTCACATAGCCAGAGGTCTCAAGTTCGAGTCTTGACTACCCCTGAGTGTTCTTCTGCCCATACAATACTCAATATCCCAATTCCTTTCCAAAGATGGTCGACGGACCAAGCGTGCACGATTTTTGGCGAGGCATGGAATTTTGGTCATTTTGGTCAAAATGAAAAATTGGCACAGCTGTGCTTGTTTTTTTTTAAATACTACCAGAGGTAATTTTTGAACGAATTCCAATTGTTGGTGGTTTGTTGAGTTTGTATCTAGAAGGATAACATACAAAGGCATCAAGCGACGATGTCAAGCAAAATGCAGGCTAACAATTCACCACAAAAGTTACAGAAATGAAATGAATCAATAAATGATACATACATGGATGGTGGTTTTCGAAGCAAGAAGAAGTGTCTCGCAGCTTTTCCTGGTTTGTACTAATGTGAACGATGTGAAATTCAAGGAAACAGTGAAGGACGATATGATTAGAATAGTAGTCACATGAGAACAACATTAAACCATCAAAGTACCAAAGAGGATGCCATAAAAAAGCTTGTGGTAAGGAAGAAAATATGTCGCACTAAGGTCATTACGTCAATTTTCGACTTTTTTGGGAGTGCTCCTGGTACACTAATCATCAATCAATCCTTAAAATTAATTGTAGAATTGCGTTGTAATGACAAAGAGCATAGAGTGTTATCCATAATGTTTCTCTTTTCTATTATTTCTCTTTACATTGAGCTTTAATAGCCGGTGCGAAATCTCTGCACAACTGCATGGTTTACTTTGAAATCTTTGCTACCTTCGCCAAAGAAGTATCGGCATCAAGATCTTCGAGACTATCAAATACACTCATCGTCTTACCCTCTGTGGTCTCTCCGTCCACGGTTACTTGACAATCTCCTGACCACTGCTTGATAGTTTCTTTTGATACTCCAGCAGACAAAAGTCCTTTGCCAAACTGATCGCCCTCAACGGATGCATCCAACCAGTTGCATCTTTCCGCAAGGGCTTCAAAAGGACTGGCCGAAGCGTGGACACCATTGTCGCCTGTATTGGGCTTGCTATTTAGCCCAAGTTTTCTGTAATCATCGAGAATTGTGCGGCGAATGGAACCTGGAATAGCTGTAAGATTCAAATCGAGCAGTAATCGCCAAAGATGTAGAATCTTCTTACCTTTTGGTGCCGTCGATGGGTCAGTAGATCCAAGAACATCACCGCGGAACGATTCCCAGGCCAAGCTGTCTGTGGGCCATGAGACGGTGTACCATTTGATCTTCTCACCCTTATTGCAATAAGCAGCGCGCATGGACATATAAAAACCATTCATCACGTAGATATCACCAATCTTTCCACAATAGAAGCCTTCAAACCGAGAGGAATTAGATTTCCTTTCACCGAGATACATGATGAACAAAACTAGAATCTTCACTTACCACCGCCAAACTTGATAAGGTTTTCTCCCCGTTTGAGCTGACTCCATTTATCGTTGATTCCATCCACGTCAAGACCGAGTTTCTCAGCAGCATCCTTAGCGTTGTAGACTTTGTTGGCAGAGATAGCAGTGTCCCAGGACTCTCCGAACATCTTCCCCATTGTCGTGAGAGTTGAAGAAAGAGACATTGTGAGAGTCGATGTGTCACAAAGTAACTTGTAACATTTCCTCTACGTACCTTTTCAAACGCTGCCTTGCCTTTGTCTGGGACATTGAGCTGTGATGGAGTCAATTCCATAGCCTTCTTTGCGATAGCCCCATAGTGATTATCGATGAGCAATTTTTTGTCAATTTCCTCGGCAAGGATCTCTCCACTTCCTGTTACACGGATTCCAACACTCTTGAATTTATCTTCAACAACTTTCTCTACGACACCCGGTTTTCCCTTGCACGCATGAGGCTTGATGAAAACAAAGGCCGAGTTTGTTTTTCCAGAAAGCTCCACCTGGAGGTCGTTGACCTGAGATGTGAGAGCTTCGTTTTGTCGGGAAGAGTCATAGTAGCAGTATGAAGCGCCTGCCAAAGCAAGTAGACTGGCCGGCATTGCCATGCCGGAACCACCACTTCCATTAGATGAGAAGGAACGAGATCCAGTCCTTCCAGCAATGAAAGATACTGGTTGCTTGAAGACTCTTGAAAGCATCTTGCAATCGTTGGTCAACAATACTACCAACAATGCCAGCTGTTTGTTGAACACACACGAGGAGTCATCATCACTGCCAACAATATTCAAGGATAATCTAGTAGATAACTAAGAGAATATATATTCAAAGCTGTATTGGTAAATTCGTCTTTTATCATAGTCATCTCATAGCTTGAAGTTGAAGTTTGGGGGGGGGGGATAGCCCCCTAGGGGGCTATCTGACCCCCGATCGGTTAAAAAAAGACCGAAAAACTGGCAGCTTTCATTGGATCGGCTTTCTTTTCGTATCAGATGTGGTACTGATGTCGCAATACCACATGTGATGGCGTTTCTCTAGACGATGCTACTGATTCAACATCGGCAGTCCGTCCTTTTGGAGCAGAGGAAACAGCTTTGGCCCAAGTCAATATCATATTTGTAAATCATGAAAAATATTTCACCAGTTGCTACAATGCTAGCTCGCGCAGATGACCCATTTCGAAGATGGACGTTATGTTGGAAGCTCCCTAGAAGTAAAATTAAGGATAAGTTTCATTTCATTCTTTCCTTTGTGATTAGAATCAGCAAGCGTAACAAAATGGGCCTCGCGGATTAGAAGAAAGATTTGGTTCGGATTGAGATGGGCAGTCGGTGCCGAGAAATGTTTCGATAGTATTGCGAGTGAAACTGGCAATGCGCGGTCCCCATGTGCAAAGATTCTGATTGAATGCAGATGCACCTTGAAACATTCCGATCATGGATACTGTAGAAGAAATGTCCCATGATGATATGTCTTGATTGAACAATCGTGCCTCTTTGAAAAGTTCGTCCATGTACCTGACAGAAGAAACATCCCAGGATGACAAGTTTTGATTGAACGATGATGCATTGTGAAACATCTCACTCATGTCTATGATAGAAGAAACATTCCAGGATGATATGTCTTGGTTGAAAGATGATGCATCTTTGAACATTTCGTCCGTGTATGCGACGGAAGAAACGTCCCAGGATGACAAGTCTTGATTAAACGTTGATGCTCCCCTGAACATTCCACTCATAGACTTAGCCGATGAAACTTCCCATGATGACAAGTCTTGATTGAAGGAAGATGCGTTCGCGAACATGTAATACATGTAATCCACGGAAGAGACATCCCATGACGACAAGTCTTGGTTAAACGATAATGCCGCTTCGAACATCAGCCCCATTTCAGCGACAGACGAGACATCCCAAGTTGATAAGTCTCCATTGAAGGATATTGCTTTCAAGAACATCCTACCCATCGTATGGACTGACGAGACATCCCATGATGTCAAATTTTGATTGAAGGAGGAAGCGCCTGCAAACATTTCACTCATGTCACCGACAGAAGAAACATTCCACGATGCGATGTCTTGGTTGAACGAAGATGCATTGTAGAACATGAACTTCATGTCAGTGACAGAAGAGACATCCCAATTCGAAATGTCCTCGTTGAAATTGGAACGCCCCACAAATAGTTGGTTCATACTAGTAACGTCTGCACCGAAACACCAATCTCCAAGCGGTCCATACTTTGACTCGACTGATGTCCTCAATTCAGGACTGTCAAACCATTTGTGAACTGTACCCTGTAGCTCCGAGCTGGTTTGAAAACATGTCTCAATGATAGGCGAAGAGTACTTGGGTTTCAAGACTGCCACCATCGCACCAACGAAAGCAGCAAAAAATAGAAAGCAGCAGAATATGGCCATGCAAATAATGCGACGTCGCTTGGAAGTGGTTTCCTCGATCGAATCCTGTCCGTTGACAATTTCTAGTCCTTCTTCTATTTGATGCAGGTGACGCCGCAGTTCACTATTTTCCTTCAATATTATGTCGTGTTCTTCGAGCTCGACATCCGAAATGGGAGCAACCTTCGATTCGGCCATACCAGTCTCCTTACTAGGTGCTAGGAGTATGGGACCTGGAATATTGTTTTTGGAATGCCGTTTGACTGGTGGAATGTCATGGTTTTTCTGGTCAATGATAGCTTGGTGAGAGGCTAGAGGACTATGAGACTCTGTATTTTGGCCAGAAGAATGAGAGATGTGGTGCTTCTTTGGAACTTTGGAGTGATGGTGAACACCTTCTTGTTCGGAAGATTCTCCTTGATGTCGATGAGATGGGCGCTCGTTCGTGTCATCTCTATGGTGATGGTGGTTGTGGTGACGATGATGCTCTTTCGTAGCCTTGTGGGACGGCAGGCCACGATGATGATGATGATGATGATGATGATGATGATGATGGTGATTAGGATTAGGATTAGATTCTTGCTTGTCGTCCATCTTGATTTTTTTTGAAAGAGATACGAGTACAATACCGATAGAATAAGACTACGTGTCACGGTTTGGGCTTCGCAAAGGAGGCCATGCTGAATACTCTACATGTACATCACAGTGTGAAGTAGAATTCTGATAGTTCGCTTTGGGTGTTAATTGAATTGGATCAGTGGAATATATCAAGAGAGACTATTGCCTGTTGCTTGGCTTCGGATTGGAAGTGATGATGATGCTATGGTGTCATCATGCGAGCATGACTCGTTTATCTCAATTGATACGCGTTTTTTTAAATTCAACATGCATATGAATATGAATATTTAATATTCAATATGGGAACTCCATTTACCGTATGACATACAGACACAACACTGTCCTTTATTGTACCCCTATGATCATTATATTTCTCATTCATCTACTGTATTTGCATGCAGTACATTGCATTGCATCACGATAGTCATCTACAAGCACGACAGGTGGTACACCACTCAGAGGGCTAATATCTATCTTCGGTCTATGTTGTTTTACGGTAGAACAATAATATTGCACTACTACTAGTAGCTACTACTAGTTATTATACGATAGCATTTCACTGGCGAGAACCATGTAGTAGGCGTGTTAATATTCCAATATCTCCTCTAGCAACTTTAACATACGTGGCAAAATGGGCCTGGTGGATTCGAAGAGAGGTTTGGATCGGATTGAGATGGGCAGTTGGTGCCGAGAAACGTTTCGAAGGTATTGAGAGTCACACTTGGAATCATGGTGCGCTCCCCCCATGGGCAAAGATTCTGATTGAAGAGCTCTGCTCCTTCAAACATTCCATTCATGGATATTGTAAAAGAAACGTTCCAGGATGAAATGTCTTGATTGAATGACGATGCCGCTTTGAACATTTGGTTCATGTACAGGACAGAAGCAACATCCCAGGATGACAAGTCTTGATTGAATGACGATGCTTCGTAGAACATCGCATTCATGTACTCGACAGAAGAAACATCCCACGATGACAAGTCCTGGTTGAACAATGATGCTTGATAGAACATGGAACTCATGTCAGTCACAGCAGAAACATCCCACGATGACAAGTCTTGGTTAAATGATGATGCACTGTGGAACATGAAACTTGTGTCGGTGACAGAAGCAACATCCCATGACGACAAGTCTTGGTTGAACGATGATGCAAGGTGGAATAAGTTGCCCATGTCAGTGACAGAAGATACATCCCATGATGATATGTCTTGGTTGAACAATGATGCTCGATAGAACATCCCATTCATATCCGTGACAGCAGAGACATCCCACAATGACAAGTCTTGGTTGAAAGATGATGCAATGTAGAACATCCACCGCATGGACGTTACAGAAGCAACATCCCATGATGATAGGTCATGATTGAAGGATGATGCACTGTCGAACATGTAGCTCATATCAGCGACAGACGAGACGTCCCAAGATGATAAGTCTTGGTTGAAGGATGCCGCGCTCCAGAACATTCCACTCATATAAATTACGGAAGAAACATTCCATGATGACAAGTCTTGATTGAACAACGATGCACCATTGAACATGTCAGCCATATTCGTGACAGAAGAGACATCCCAGGATGACAAGTCTTCATTGAAAGTAGACTGACTTCGGAACAGAGATTCCATACTCGTTACACTTGGACCGAAGCACCAGTCGCCGATCGATCCATATTGGTTCTCAACTATTGTCTTTATCTGAGAATCCTGTAGCCAGTCACGAGCTGCATCCGAGAGCTCCGTGTTTGTTTGAAAACATGGTCGAGTTGGACTAGATGTCGGCGACCTTGATGGTTCCGAAGTACTAGGTCGATATGTAGGTCCAGGACTCGGATTCGGTGTTGGAGCAGAAGTGGTTCGAGACCCAGGTAGGCTTGGCCGATGTGTCGGATTACTAGAGAACAATTCAGTGGGAGCAGGGGAAGTAACGTTCGTGGTTGTCTTGTTGTTGGAGGAAGTGTCAATGATTTCTTCAGAATCCTTCATTTTCAAGACTGCCACGACTGCCCCAGCTGCAGCGGCTAGTATTAAAAAGCAGCAAAGTAAGGCCATGCGCACTTGACGGCGCTTGGAAGATCGACGGACATTGTTTCCGACAGTAGACCCTTGAGTGTTGGAATTTTCTTGGACTTCTTGCATGTGATGGAGATGGTGACGATATGACGGCGATAATGAGATTCTTTCTTGTGTTCACACTGATAAACTTTTGTTGTTGTTGTTGCTCTTAAATTGTTGAAAGAATTCGGACTGTAGAAAGACTGTGATAATGCCCAATTGGGCTTCCCATCCAGAATACATCGAGTCGTATAGCACCTACGATGTATTCCTTTTAGTGCGATGATTGATACCGGTAGTGCCTTCGCATTGCTCTGAAACTTATATATTACACAGTAATATAGACGGGGAAATGTGAAACATCGATCTCCCCTTTTTCTGTAAACCACATGATATTTTTTGGATCCACTACGATCCACCGCCGGACGCAATAATGTTGGAATATTCGGACCCAGAGTCTGTACGCCGACCTAACGGAAGATGGGAGAATGAATAATGACCTCAAGAAAGGACGTCAAGAGAAGGGATCTCTTGACATCACAACTCATCAACTATATCTCTCTATATAACTTAACTACATAATCATATCGATCCTACCTGAAATCCATTAGATTCACACACGCTCCCTCTGCGTCTAATAGAATCGAATTGAAACTACATGGTAGTGGACCCTCCTCGTCGTAATCCCCTGCGCACCAATAGAAGGCGACCTTTGAGATTTGCTGAGGGAATAGCAGAACTCCGACGACAAGGCGAAATAGCAGACAACCAAGAAGACGCTCAAGCCGAAGCAGCCCCAGACATCAACATGGATCTGGCGCAGCAAGGAGGAGACGACGCTGGCGCAGGAAACAACAACGTTGTAGCTGGTGAAGGCAATAACAACGCCGCAGCTCCACAGCAACCGCCACAACAAGTTCCAGCTCCACAGCAGCCACAACAACAGCAAAATAACCCTGGCGCCGGCGCCAACAACCATCTGATCATGCAATTAATCCAAGGTCAGCAACAAATGATGCAAGCGCTCATGGCAGCACTACCGCAGTTAAATGCAAACCCACTACCGCCACCACCTCAAGGGAACGCAATGCCACCGCAGCAACAACCTCATGCGGCGCAGCAACAGCCGGCAGCGATGGCACCACCAGTGGTGCAACAACCAGGACCAGTGCAAAACCCTTTGCCTCCACCGAACGAAGACGGCCTTGATGCCTATCCCCGTGGCATAATACCACTGGACCTCAAGAACAAACTCGAGCTAGGCCTCTACAACCAGGCAAAGCAACCACTTTCAAACAAGTTCGATGGCACAGACCTGTCCCGATTGATCAAGGATATACAAGGCCGCTGTACCCTCATGCACTGCCTTCCTGTTTTTGACGTTACCGAAAATGCAATGACCAAAAATTTGCTGTCAAAATACGGCGAGATTTCCCTTGTCGCAACGCAAGCCGCTGCAACAAGCCGATGGAGGACGAACACCTATTTCCGCCAGGCGAGTTACGCCCTAGGGATGTGTCTCCTGGATTCTGTATCCAACGAATTCAAGCAGCGTCTTGAACAACGTGAAGACGATTATGTTCAGATTAGGGGCCGTTGCGACGGACCCACGATTTTCAAGATCATCTGCAATCTAACCTCTCCATCCAATCGGAGGACGATACAATTCCTAATTAACGACCTACAAACTTTGTCCCCGATCGAGCATGGCAACAGCATCATCCTTTTTAATCAACGTTTCAACGAACTTAAGGCCAAGATCCGAGCTATGGGAGGCTCCTCTAGCTTAAACGAAGTCATGACCTACAACGCCCTCGCGCAAGGATACAATCAAGTTGATCAAGACGAATTCAGGGCCTTTATGTCAATCAAAAACAACATGCCCGAAATACCGCACGAAGACCTCATGAAGGAAGGAGAGACCAAGTACAACAATCTTGTCTCAGAGGGTCTCTGGCACCTTCCCTCACAGAAACAACAGATCATGTCCCTTTCGGCTAGCCAGGCGAAGGACAAGAGGGAGATTATTAAGGACTACACCGCAAAAATCCAAAAATTTGGGAGCAAGCGGAAGCAGCCTCCAACTGACCCCAAACAAAGCAAGAAGCCCAAGGCCGATGGCCGCAAGGACAAAGATAATGGGGACTTTGACACCTGGCTTGTTACCCCTCCAAAAGCCGGCGATGAGGACAAGATCATCAAGAAAGCCAACAAAAGCGGGTCCATGAGGGAATGGAATTGGTGTAAGCATCACAAGAAGATGGTACTTGCGGTATCACGCGACGGTAGAAAGCACAACTCCAAGACGTGCAGCGGAGTTGGAACTCCCATAAAGAAGCCTAGCACCAAAGAACAGAAGAGATTGAAAGTGAAAGCCCTTGAGACGCGAATCTCAGCACTCACGGCCGAGATCACTACCACAAGCGACTCAGACGACGGGTCGGACAACGAAAGCAGGACGGACGATGGATATTTTGCTTTGGAGGACGAAGGTTTCGATTGACGGCAAGGCAAGCAGATAATCGACTTGAGTTCAGTGGAAGATATAAAAACAGAACTTCATCTTAAAAGCTATCAAGCCCACATCTGCAGAGCCATGAACGCGACTTTCGAACACGACTCAATTCCAGTTGGGGTCGACAGCTGCACATCCTCAACAGTCGGTGGCATAAGGCACCTTTTCGTTGGGAAATTGACTCCAGTGAAGGGTATGAAATTGGAAGGAGCCTCTGGCTCCATCCCAATCGTTGCAAAAGGCACTCTGCAATTGGTTTTCGCGGACGACAATGGGCACACGCATCAGCACCTGATACACGATGCCTACTATGCTCCACGACTGAAGCTGACTTTACTGAGTCCACGCCAATGGTCAAAGCAAGGTCCAACTAAAAGAAAGGGAATGGAACCAATCCGAAACTTCAATGTGTGTGGTGACACCGTGGAACTACGTTTTGAGAACAATTGCGTCCGAACTGTCCCATTTGACAGCGAAACAAACCTACCGCTCCTGATGACAAAGCCCGGCTACTCTTCCTTCTCTTCACACCTCAAATCTCAGCACATTACGGCACAAGAAGCACGGATCCGACCAACAGCTTTGACCTTCCAAGATCTGCACCTCCCTGACGGAACACACCCCAATCCTCCATCAGAACGACAATGTCAAGATTGCGACCCCAAGGAAAAAGATCCTTTCGACCTGCACGGGACTACAGCACCAAGCCTTGCCAAGACCTTTGTCGATAACTTTGAAGAGCCACCAGCAGTCCTTGAAGATTTCAATTTTGAATCCCTCCTCACTGGTGAATGGGATGATACAGCGCCAGAAGCAACTCTACCATCGCTAAATGAGACGGATAAAAAGACTCTTTTGCTCCGATGGCACTACCGCCTCGGACACATGCCTTTCAAGCACCTCAAAGCCAGTGCCAAAGAAGGCCTCATCGATCGTCGGCTTGCAACTATCAAAGAATTCCCATTCTGCCCCGGTTGTCAATTTGGAAAGGCAACCCGACGACAATGGCGACATCGCTCCAAGAAGAAAGACGGCAGTCGCAAGACTCCACGTCAAGCAACCAAGCCTGGATCGGTCGTGTCGGTCGACACCATGAGCTCCACTAGCGTCCCAGGTCTGATGCCCCAACTTCGCGGACACCCCACTATAGCACGATTTCATTATGCTACAGTCTTTGTTGATCACTACAGTGACCTGGACTACGTGCACCTTCACCAATACAACGATGCCAACTCAGTTCTTGAAGCCAAACTTGCGTTTGAACGCCATGCAAACAGTTACGGTGTGCGCATCCAACACTATCACTGCGACAACGGAGTTTTTGCTGATAATTCCTTCAAGGCAGCATGCAAAGCTGCACACCAAACACACACCTTCTGCGGAGTCAATGCTCATCATCAAAATGGCAAAGCCGAGAAGCGTATCCGTGACCTTCGTGACTCCGCTCGCTCCATGCTTCTCCTTGCAAAGCACAACTGGCCAGCGGCCATCACAGCGCATCTTTGGGGTTTCGCTATGGTTTACGCTTCCCAAATCCGCAATTCCACTCTTCGAGAGGGAGAACACAGGACAGCCCTTCAAAAATTTGTTGATTCTGATGACAAACCAAATGTCAACGTCTTCCATACTTTTGGTTGTCCCATCTACAATCTGGATCCAAAACTACAGAGTGGAAGCTCCTTGGAAAACAAATGGTGTGATAGGGCGCGAATTGGCATTTTCCTTGGCCTCTCACGCGAACACGCAAATTCGGTATCGCTTGTTCTAAACCCTGACACAGGATTGACCTCACCTCAATTTCATGTGACGCACGACGAACGTTTCGAGACGACAGACATCCCAGCAATGAAGAATATTGGACGGTGGCAGGGATTGACTCGAATTCATGAGAAGAGATCCACAAAGAAGCCCAAAGCAAACAAAAGAAGAAAAATATCTCACACTCAGGTGCCAGAGTCAAGTGGTACCGAAACTCCAACGTCAGAGCCGATTGACGAGAGAGGACACCTCCAAGCAAAGCGCCACGAGCTCTCGACTCCAACATCAGAGACCATTGATGAGAGAGGACACCTGGAAGCACAAAGCCGACAGCTCTCGACAACTGAGCGTAACGGTCAAGATAGACTAGCTCAAACTGGCGGAACGGGGAACCCGAGGGACACCAGCAGAAACGTGCTGCCTCAGAGGGAGAACGGAAAGCCATCCCCGAGGGACACCAGTTTACTGCCTCAGAGGGAGAATCCGAGGGACAACGGCAAAGACTTGCTGCCTCAGAGGGAGAGTTATAGGGACACCAGCAGCTTGCTGCCTCAACTCTCCCACCAGACCCAAAGTCGAGAAATGAGGGAGAACCGGAGGACCACCAGCACACATTCACTGCCTCCATCCTCCCGAAAGGCTGAAGGTCAAACCCAAGGTCGAGAAATGAGGGAGAGTCAACGGGACACCAGCCCAAATTTGCTGCCACGACTCTCCCGAAAGGCCGAAGGTCCAACAACACCGTTACTTGATAGCGGGACTTTCAAACATCCAGCTCTTCAGAGGGAGGACAATGCGGGAACCCGTACAATCCAAGCACTGAAGACCCACGAATCTCTCTCTCAAAAGCGCAAGCGAGGGAGAGACGACGGGGAAGAAAACACAGCAAGTACCCTCGACCAAAAGCGTCTTGAATTTGAACTAACTTTGCGTTCTTACAGGACAGTAATTGCAAGGGAAGTCCATGCAGAAGAACTAGTGGACGAATGCATCACTGCCAATCCAATGGCCTTTGCAGCGACGTTAGCAGATGAGGATACGATGTACCTGCACCAAGCGAAGAAAGAAAGAGATTGGATTCACTTCCACACCGCAATGGTCAAAGAAATTGAAGATCATACGAAAGGAGGTCATTGGGAGATAGTTCCAAGAAAATCTATGCCACAAGGGCACAAAGCGATGCGAGGTGTTTGGTCAATGAAACGAAAACGCCGTGTTGGAACTGGCGAAATTTACAAATGGAAGGCACGACTATGCATTGATGGGAGTTCACAAGAAAAAGGCGTGAATTACTGGGATACGTATTCACCAGTTGTTGCATGGGAAACGATTCGAAGCCTACTAACACTCGCTATAATGAATGGTTGGACAACGCGACAGATCGACTTTGTCCTTGCATTCCCACAAGCAGAAGTTGAATGCCCAATGTACATGGAAATTCCGCGAGAATGCTATGTGGACGGGTCAGAGTACAACGAACAAAACGTTCTTTTATTAAAGAAGAACCTTTACGGGGCCAAGCAGGCGGGCAAGGTATGGTTCGATTTTCTCCGAAAGGGGCTGAAGGACATCGGTTTCAAACAATCGAAGGTCGACAAAGCAGTCTTCTATAAGGGCGAGACAATTTTTATCGTTTATGTGGACGATGCAATTTTGATGGGTCCAAACGGACGCGAAATTAATGACGTCATCAAACGGCTCGGACAAAAGTACAAATTAACGGACGAAGGCGATTTGAACGAATATCTCGGAATCAAAATGACCAAGACGAGCGAAGGTCGAGAATTGACCCAACCCGCCTTGATCCAACGCATTCTTGAAACGGTAAACATCGACCTGGACCGCGGAGCACGACGAGAAGTCAGAACACCAGCAAACAAAGTTTTACACAAAGATGAAGGTGGGCTAACGCGTCAACTTCATTGGGACTACCGTTCTGTAATTGGAATGCTAAATTGGCTGGCAAGATCGACGCGACCTGAATTGATCTTTGCGGTCTCTCAAGTCGGACGATTCATGGCCTTTCCCAAGAGATCCCACGAGGATGCCGTAATGAGAATCTGCTGTTACCTTCGCGACACACGCGACAAGGGTATGTTCATGAAGCCAAAATCTGGAAAGGGCTTTGAAGTATATGCGGACGCAGATTTTGCAGGCGGCTTCAACAAACACAGCGCCGAAGACCCAGCAACTGCAAAATCGCGAACAGCTTACCATATCATGTTTAACAATTGCTTGATCTATTCACATTCCAAGATGCAGACAGAGATCGCTTTAAGCACCACGGAGGCCGAATACATCTGTCTTTCCCAGGCACTGCGAACTGTGCTCGTTTTAATCCGATTTTTCAAAGAACTCGCAAAGAGAATCAAATCTTTCAACTATACCAAACCGATTTTCAAATGTAAAGCTTTCGAGGACAATAATGGAGCAATCGAACTCGCGACAGCCGACAAACTTCGCCCACGCACCAAACACATTAACATCAAGTATCATCACTTCAAGAAGTCGGTCCGCAAAGGGGAAGTTTCCATTCAGAAAATCGACACAAAAGATCAATTGGCCGATATCGGAACAAAACCACTCGACGCCGCCACCTTCGTTGCTCTCCGCTACCTCCTTATCGGTTGGTAACATTTTGGTCATTACTTCCTTTCCCAAGAGGGAGTGTTGGAATATTCGGACCCAGAGTCTGTACGCCGACCTAACGGAAGATGGGAGAATGAATAATGACCTCAAGAAAGGACGTCAAGAGAAGGGATCTCTTGACATCACAACTCATCAACTATATCTCTCTATATAACTTAACTACATAATCATATCGATCCTACCTGAAATCCATTAGATTCACACAAATAATAATGCGATCCTATATGACTGACTCTTTGACAACGCGTTTTGGATGTCCCTGACTCTTTGACAACGCGTTTTGGATGTGTGTGATGGCCCAGTGTGATGTGGAATAGATACATATATTATATTATCGCCACTGCATAGACCATCATGGTACTCATCTTCGCGAAGGTAGTGCTCTCGGCTTTGTTGCTCCTACTTTCCTTTCCCCAGAACGTTCGATCTCAATCCTTATTATTGTCTCTTCAACAAGGGGCAGGAAACGAGAATCATGGAAGTGTTGTTGGCTTGACCAACAAGAATCAGCCTCCGTATGTTGCTGCCAACCAAGAAGCGACAATCAGGAAGAGCAATAAGGACTTTCCACAAATGACTTTCAACCGCCAGTTATTGCAAGATAACGATGGTTCAACAATAACCTGGGACCATGCAGTTACCTTTCAACAGACCGACGGCTGGTCTCATTCCCAGTCCGGAGACGGCACCTTTCTTGCTGCAAGTGACCATCGTAGTTCCAACAATGGCATTGTTCAAAACGGAAGTGTTCGATTCTTCCGCAAGGAGCAGGGTTCGTGTGGTGGATCATCTTGGAAGGAATGGACCAACCTTGCCTTGTTTGGAAACTCAACAGGAGATAACTTTGGCTGGGATATATCTCTTTCCAAGGACGGAAATCGAGTGGCAATTGGTGCTACAGGGTCTGGAAATGTAGGAAGTGTGGCAGTCTACGAGCTGGTCAATGGGGCTTGGGCGCTAATGGGTGTGATTCAAGGTGAGGCGGAGGATGATACGTTCGGCTATTCAGTATCGCTCTCCAAGGATGGATCGAGGGTAGCTATTGGTGATCGGTACCGTGATTCTTTCGCCGGTAATGCCCGAGTCTACGAGTGGGAAGGTTCGTCGTTTCTGAAATTGGGAGACGATATGAATGGAGAATGTAGTGAGGATCAAGCAGGCGCTGATCTTGCTCTTTCCGAAGATGGGCTGGTGGTTGTAATTGGTGATCGTAAGTTTGTACGAGTGTTTGAGTGGAGCGGGGGAAGCTGGACAAAGCGCGGCCTCAATTTTGATGGCTCTTCTTGGGCTCCTTGGGGGTATTCTCTCGAGGTTTCGGTGGCTCTCTCTGGCGATGGGAACATTGTAGCCTTCGGATTGTTTAGAAGGGTGCAAGTGTTTGAATGGAAGGATTTTGAATGGATCCAAGTTGGCCAAACTTTAAAAGTCGATGATGAAGACGTTATTTATGGACAATCGGTTTCCCTATCATCTTCTGGTTCCATTCTTGCCGTTGGTTCACGGTCAAACAACGCCTCTTTACCTGCAAAAATGTATGCCTTGGCTGATGGTATTTGGGTAGACCAAGGTGGCAGCAGCGGCAGCAATGGCGCTAGAGTTTCAGTATCCAGCGATGGATTTACCCTTGCAGTTGGGGATTGGAGATCAGATTCCATTTCCATTTACAACTTGAATGTAAGTAGCCAGGTCGAGCTTGCTTCCCCTTGTGCTACAATAGGAACTCAAAAATTATGACTGTCGCAGGGACCACTGGATACCACCACTCCGACTTGCCGACCAACCCCGTCACCAACCTCAAGCCTATCTTCTGGACCAAGCATAGGACCAACTTTCCCACAAAGCTCTGGACCAAGCATGGCACCAAGCTCAGGCCCAACCTCGTCCGGATGCAATGGAAATTTCCACTGGGAGTTTTTTCTTTCATCAGTCATATTTTTACCTTGCCTTCTGCTATCTGCCTCTTTCTAACATCATCTTCGTTCGTATATTATATATACCTTGAGACTAAGATAAAGAGATAGCTTGGTCTTTTCCGAGCTCGTTATTCTTGTCACCAGGGACAAGAAAATCTATTGTAGTTCTATTATACTGCTTTTGGCGCAAAAGATCTAGGCTCCTGCCTTTGTGGCACTAGGGAATTTGCCCTTACCATTTTTTATATGCTTCTTCATGCTGAACCATCATTATTCCAAATACTCGTGCTCGAATCACTATGATTGCTGCTCCTCGAATTACGATCACTTGAATGTCGTCTTTTGCTGTTTTCGTGAGATTCTATTTTTCTGTGATTGAAAGATTGTCTAACAATAACATCCTACATCACCGTGCTTCCGCTGAATCTTCGTGGAACCCATCAGCTACGAAAGTACAGACGTTGCAATAAGTCCGGTTTTAGCACAACGCCTGCTTCAGTTACCATTTCTGGAAGTTGTACCGCACACAATTTCCAAGACCAAGTACCTGCGGTACCAGGTCACATATAGAAAAAAATGCACAGCCACTTCTGACTTTCAATCTACAGCACGAGACAGAAACTTTACGTACGGGTACCAACTTCGCATGTTCGCATAGGGCGGTCACATTCTTCGAAATTATCCGTCTACTTTTCGACTCTTTATGGTCGGTTGATTGTCAGTGAATGACGGCGACTGACGCGAGTTGTTGGTCAAGAGACTATTATGCTCGAAGAACTAGAGAACAGTATTTTAATATATCGCCACGTGCTACAAACACCTGACTTGTGCTCTTCGCCTTCTTCAGTTTTGACTAGAGTGACGTGAAATGCCAAGCTACAATCACCTGTCTTGTGCGGTACTCTTCATCTTCTCACAATTTTTTTTCAAGATCTCAATCATGCTGAATATCAATACCAACTTCCCTGGAACAATGGACAACAAGAAGCTATGCCTGACAGCAGGATGCTCTGAATCAAATTTCCAACAAGAAGGTTGCCGCTGGATCGATCCATTCCCACTCACTCATGCAATGAATTTGAGTTATCGAGATGAAAAAGAGTTTGATTTGGGACCCCTTCTCGACTATGTACCGTCGTCGACATTAATGGATCGATCGACTGAGAAGAAATCTATTCAAGAGAACATGCTCAAACGACCCATCATCCAGATCGAAGACAATGACTATGAGAACCACAACAGCAGAGCATCTCGTTTCAAACGTCATCGTACATGCAACGATGTTGCAGTCAGTAGTGCTACTGATATAATCCCAGCTGATGCAATCAGCAGTGCTGCTGATGCGATCCCAGATGATTCAATCGAGGATGCTGCTATTGTGTTCCCAGATGTGGAAATCAGTGCCGCTGATTTCTTCCCAGATGTGGCAACAAGGGCTGAAGGTGCCCTTCATGTGACACAGGAAGCGCAGGAATACCCCCGTTTTCGAAATCATCAAGAAGAGCAGTGGCAGAAGCGATATCAATGTCTCCTGGAGTTCAAACAGAAGCATGGACATTGTTGTGTTCCAAACAAACACGATGAAAATCCGGTTCTAGGAAGATGGGTAAGTTTAGATAGCTTCTCGTTTGCAATGTCATACGAGGACGGCCGGCCACTAACACTTCATTATTATACATCAGGTCAAGAGACAAAGATACCAACACAAGCTGCTCCAGCACAGGAAGAAATCCACGCTAGTCCCTCATCGCGTCAAAGCATTGGAAGATGCTGGCTTCATCTGGGATTCTCACTCTGCTCTGTGGGAAGAGCGGCTGAATGAGCTCAAAGCTTATCGTCGAGTCCATGGACATGGCAATGTACCATCGACTTGCACCGCAAATGCGCAGCTATCGACTTGGGTGAAATGCCAGCGACGCCAATACAAGTTATTCTTGCATGACGACCCGTCCTCCAACCTGACACCAGAGCGCATATCCGCATTGAACCAGATCGGTTTTCAGTGGTGCGGACGGCTGGCTAGAAGGAAAAGTACAATGCCCTCTTACTATCTTTAACGCAAATCTTGCCACCATCACAATAAACATGCACTTCTAGTAAAAGTAAAATAAGTAAAGGTGCTGTTATATACTACATGTAGGCTATTTTACTGTAGTATTTTCTTCGCAAAAACCGTTCCCACAAAAACGACAGAATGGACCCGCGGGGGATTCGAAGATATGATAGAGCAGATTTTTTGGCAGAGAAGAAACTGTTACGGTCTCCAGAGATTGTATATTAGCCAGAAAGATCGGCATATTGCTCGGCAGCCGCGAACCTCCGACTCATGGATAGAGGAGGTTTTGGTAGCAATGGGCGGTGAACATATCGTCAATTGCAATAACAGCAGAAACATCCCATGATGACAAGTCTTCATTGTGAGGTGACGCTTTCTATCGTACGCATTTTTAATCAAAATACATGCGAGCTTTATATAAAAAGTGTAACATATCGTTAGCGGTATGATATATAATTTGTCGCAGAAAAGGGAAGGGGGATTGAAACTAATGGGTGAAACTTTTAATTGTCAAACAATCCCCTTTTCTAGTGTAACCGCAATTGCAAGACTTCGTCATTGCATTGTTGTTGCTGTTATTTATTTATTTATTTCGACAGCACCTTCGTCAACAACAGCAGCAATAATATTGTTCAACCCATATGCTACACAATACGATATGAATGGAGAAAACTCAGAGGACGAATGTTGTCTATGTGGCCGCCTATGGGATGCTTCTTGTACAGGATGGCCGCTCTGCGATACTGCCAATTGTCCCAATGTCTGCTGCTCCACCTGCAGCCAAGCATTGATTGTGTCGGACATGTTTTATTGTCCTATTTGTTCCGGATCTGGAGAATCCGCAGCAGCAACGGTCGGTGGCGCCATTGCGACCGCCGTCTCAGTCTGCTCGGAATTGGAGTCCTTGCCTCTGTCTCGCAACAGCATACAGGGACTCTTGAAGAATCTGCTGAAACAACCGGACAATCCAAAGTATCGAAAGCTAAGGCTCAACAATAAAAAGGTCAAGGAGCTGCTGGATCTAGATCCTTGTCGCCGACTCTTGACAATGGTTGGATTTACTGAACAAGAATTGGATAGGGAACCAGTTTTGATGTTGGAGGGGTCTGTGAATGTGTGCGAAGTGAGGCAGTTACTCGACATACTGGAGGGATTATCCGATGAGAGTGAAACAGCAGCAACAGAGCCACCGATAAAAACGACATTGGGCATTGATAGCGATCAATCTAAGCGTCCGGTTGATAGTATTGAGGGTGATACTGATGGCACCAAACCGCTGGCAAACAAGGAAGCAGGACCACACGCATCCAAAAAGCCAAAGACTGGTGATAAATGAAGACATCATTGCAGATGAGTACTAATGAGTGAAGAGGCATAGACACCAATTGACTTGCACTGGTATCTTTTGAAGAACGAAATCCATCCTCCTCATGATGAATAAGCACGCAGCTTGAGCCGACTGGCGGCGTCTACTTCCTGTGTCTTTCATCCCCTGTCGAAGTCGAGATTAGAAAGAAATTTTTGTTGTTGAGGAAATAAGCGATTGAGCGCAGCTCGTTTTGAATTGAATTCTATGCTGGGCTCTTTGCGCGATTTCATTCCAACAACGACTACTGGTGTACTATGATGGAGCGGAACCTTCGTTCGTTTGCGGAGCGGCGTTCCGCTTGTATCAGATATGGTACAAATGTTTCAATATCACATTTGACTGCCTGTTTCCAGATGATACAACTGATCAAAGAGATAGTGCGATCTTTTTCTATCATCATTTGTATGTCGATCTTTGACTTCTTCGACCGATTTGCGGTCATCGGCAATCGGTACCGTCACTCCGCAGGTCATCACACCACCACGTTAGATAGTCACGTTGTGAAAAAAAAACCGCGCCGTCCCGCATTTTATATTCATCCGGATATACACGTACCGGTAGTCATTCTGCGTGCCGTTTGGTCTTCTTGGCAATAAAAGCAGATGATCGTATGCAGTATTTTGTTTTCAATTTTATTCTTCTCCATTGTTGGCAATAATATATTGAGCATTTCAAAACAACCATGAAGGCAGTTTCATCGGTAATGGCAGTAGCCGGTATCCTGGTCATTATAAGGGAGCTACGTGATGCAGCAAGTATGTCTTCCAAGGCGCTCCACTGCGAACATAATCATAGTTCCCATGGTGGAATGCACCAGCATCAGTATTCTACCGCCACGACGACGACGAGTCGACGATTGATACCTGAGGAAGATGAGAAGGGTGATCCCCCGTTGTCGCCAACGCTTGCTACCGCCGATGCGCCGACAGATAAACCAATAGAACCAGCACCACCACCACCACCACTACCGATTGTTCCTCAAGTTGATTCCTCCACTGGAAAGGTCTTTGATGGAAACAAGATTCGTGAGTTCACACTGGCACGGGCCAACCTACGTCAGACGACATCCCAAGATTTGCCATTCGAAAATGATTTCAAAGACAAATGCACCAAATGGGGTGTGGTGACCACCATTTTTGATCCGACTGAAGCTATTTCGAGAGTCTCCAAGTTGCCCGAGTGGTGCTGTGTTGTGGTGGCCGATACCAAAACACCAACCAATTACATGGAAACCTTTGAAACCATGGGCGGAGCTATTGAATCGACCTTCTTTTTTTCTGAGGAACGTCAAAAAACATGGGAACAAATGGAGGGACCCATTGGGGACTTTGTCCGCACCATGCCCTGGAGGCACTTTGGACGCAAGAATTTGGGGTACTTGTTTGCGATTCTCCATGGCGCCGAATTCTTTTTTGATTTTGACGACGACAATTACATCAAGTTGGACGATGACTCGGGATTGCCAGTGGAAATTCTTCCATCCACTACTACGTTGGAGAATGTGACGGTACCGATGCTTGGACCGACAGCCTTTAACCATCACCCACTCATGAAACCATCGATTCCTGCTCCCTCGTGGGCCCGCGGGTTTCCATTGGAGTACATCAAGGACGAAGCCACCCAAGGAAGCCCAGCCTTTACAGAGCCCATGCCATTCGTTTCCAGATCCAACTCCATTGGTGTGATTCAGTTCTTGGCTGATGGAAATCCAGATGTCGATGCCAACCATCGATTGATGCGTCCACTACCGGTGACCTTTGACAATACCCAAGATGCGACCAACGTCGCCGTGCCGAAACATGCCTATAGCCCCTACAATGCACAAGCTTCCATTCATACCCAACCTGCACTGTGGGCAACCTTGCTTCCCACCACGGTCCCGGGCCGTGTGTCGGATATTTGGCGCTCCTACTTTGCCCAGTGCATCTTTGCCGACGCGGATTTGCGTCTAGTCTTTGCACCCCCCAAGATTGAACAAATACGAAACGATCACAACATTTTGGGAGATTTGACGGCGGAACACGACTTGTACACCAAGAGTGGCAAACTGATTGACTTTTTGTCCGAATGGGACTCTCCAGAACTTGCACTTCCACAACGAGTGGAGCAGCTATGGATTGATTTGTACGAACGATCCTACATTGAGGTGGGGGACGTCGTGGCAATGCAAAAATGGCTCGAAGCATTGATCACCATGGGGTATCAATTTCCAGACCTAAAGCCTCGCATTCGTAATGTGGCAGTCATGGGACAATTCAATTATGCCGACTTTCCCAACAGCATGACACAAATCATGATGTGGAGCCAAAAAATGAGAGAACGGTTCCAAACCACGATTGCGGCAGCTCCACTCAGTGACGCCCAAGTGGCACATCTCCAGTCCCACCGTGTGGATGCCCTCCAAGCCAAGGATTACAAAATGAAAAAACGAGGTCATTTGGGTTTCTACAATCCCATGAGTAACTTGATGAGGACGCTTTTACGATTTTCGAATTCTTCGACGATTGAGGCTGTCCTCTATGCCCACGACGATGCGTTACTGAATGTTACCGAACTATCCGAAGGAAAGTATCCTTTCCCGACCGACAAGGTTATCGCCAATCGAAAACGGGGGGAGCATGACAATGCCGAATATGTGAATCTACGAAGCACACCCGACCGAGAAGTCGCAAGGAAATCTTCCCATCGCGTGTTCCCAAATGGTACCATAACGGATGCCGACAAGACCATTTTTGTGAGTTCCTCCAAGGAGCTGATGGAGAAAGTCCCAGATCTGCATGGCAATTGGAATGAATGGCTACACAGTTATTGTGCGCCGGGGCAACAGCAAATGGCCATGGACCCAGAATTTGCCAAATATCTGGAACCGGATGGTTCGGCATGGTTTCCGTTACACACGCAATCCGATTTTCTCATGGTGCCCACCAAATATGCTGGAGAGTTTGCGCAAGCTGCCAATCTACACTTGAAACACAACATTTGGATCGAATGTGCCCATGCGAAGATTGTGGATATTCTTCGTGAGAAGTCGAAAGCACCGGTTCGACTGGTGAGGCTTTGCACTGGGTTTGGGGCATCGCGGGGAAGTTGGAAATCGCTTGAGACTTGTAAGTCTGAGAATGTCGCAGTCTTTCACCCATTCAAAATTGGAGATCGATTTGACGAATTTTGGCTGGGCGCCGACGCCATCAATTTCCCCTTTGAGAAACTGGATAAAGCGATGCAAGCTGTGTACGAGCCCGAGAGTAAAGGCAAAGCAGCAAACAACGGAAAGGCCAAGACGGGCTAAATCTTGGTGATACGGATATAGTCTGACATCAAGCTTGGACGACCGAAAAGCAATGATTGCACTTTGAATGGTTGTTAACCAGCAGCAATCTCTTCTAACCACATACATAAAAATAAAGCTTAGCATGTATACTGTATGTTCTTAAAACCAGCTCCAAATCTGATTTTGGTTTTGAGCCGTTTAGATATCGTAGCGGTATTTGCCGCAGTGCCTGCAGTATATCCAGGCTAACAACCGCAATACGCAGTGACCGCAAACAAAATGACTTCAAACTACACTTTTGGAGAAGACCGCCTGTCCTCCGTCCAATGCTGCATACGGCAAAAGGCCATTTTCTTTTATTGTCCGCGATAAAGATATGTGCATGTGTTCTTCGAAGCGATGAAACATTTGATAAAATAGTCATCTCGTATTCATAAAACACATCTGATCATAAAACCAAAAACCAACCAAAACCACACGATAGCAACAAACTATCTACAACAAACTATCTACAACAACAACAACAACAACAACAACAACAACAACAATAAATTAAAATGGGAAACAGTGCCAGCGGAGAAGAACTTTCAGCAGCCCTTAAGCAAGGCGCCATGATTGTCGACGTCAGAAGTCCCGGCGAATTTGCCGGAGGCCATGCTACCGGAGCCGTCAACTATCCTTTGGGCGGCTTGGCTTCCAAGATGGATACTCTCAAGCAAACTGGCAAGCCTGTTGTCTTTTGCTGTGCCTCTGGGGGTCGAAGTGGCAGTGCCACAGACATGGCCAAGGGTGTCTTGCCGCAAGAAGTTATCAATGGAGGTCCATGGCAAAATGTCCAAAAGGTTGTCTCGTCCATGTAAATGTGCGATAGATTACTTACAGCCAGTCGAACTTTTGGTGAACGGATGTATCATAGATCGGTTATGAAAGGGGATGAAATGAAAAGAACACCGTTTGTCTTTGATTGCGATTTGCATTTTTTTTGAATTACCGAACCGAATATAATACATCATCATTGGATCCAAAACTTAGGACTATGCGGTGCAGACTTTGTAATAATATTAATGTTCTAAGAAACACGAAATGATTGTGAGATCCATAGATATTCACGATAAGGTGTATTCTGCTACTGTGATGGCTGTAGGTCGGTTTTTGCACTTCATTTCGATATTATTCCAAAAGTCATGAGCGATTGGCTTCAGTATTGTGTGTTGCAGTTCAGATATAGCGTCTATAGATCCCATGCGAAACGAACTTGTTGGTGCCAATGTCTCGGTACACATGGTGATGCATCAGGAGATGTGGTTGGGGACTCAGTTAGACCCAAACATATTAATACGCATTCTTTTCCTCTCCGCCTTAAACTACCGCGGTATTCTTGCGTCAAAACGCCATTTCTTGCGTCAAAACGCCATTTCTTCCTTCGCTTCCCGACCACAAACCTCTGTCAACATTTTTAACGGATAGGAACATTTGGTTAGAACCTCAGAAACGTCATGATTTACGCCGTCAAAAACAGATAATTCGCAGTGACATGTGCGACCGGAAGGGCTGCGTAATTTTTCACAAATAAAAACGACCATGGACTATATATAGTACTGCACCACATCTGGATAATTTGCCAGACAGTAGAATGAACAACTACAACCGGCTTTCCCATGCGCAAGAGACATTACTTGTTTTTCTCCCAATACCTTCAGCGATCATCAGCATCATTGGGAGCGTCGTCATCGTCACCATGGCCTTCCAATCCCGACAAAAGGGTCCATGGACACCGTACCACGGATTGTTGACAGGAATGTCACTCTGTGATATCATCTTTTCGGTGACGTTGGCAGCTGGTAGCTTTTTGTTTCCAAAAGATACGTCGGACAAATACTGGGCCCTTGGGAATGTACCCACCTGCAATGGTGTGGCATTCATGACACAATTCAGTTATTCTACGATACTATACAACGCCATGCTCAGCTTTTACTTTCTGCTGACGGCGCGGTATGGATATAGCAACGAGGAAATTGCAGCAAGATTTGAGACGATAATGCATGTAATTTGTCTATTTTGGCCACTGGGGACGGCCTATGCGGGTCTGTATCTGGATTTTTACGGCGAACGGGAAGCCAACATGGGGTGCTGGGTGCGTCAGGACATTCCGAGAAATTGCGGCAGCATTGAACAGGGCAAAACTGGGGAAGAGTGTCTAGGGAAGCTGCCATTGTTTCTGTTTGCAGGACTCATTTTCGTTCCTAGCTTCATTGTCATTGTGATCAACAACCTACGTATATGGTGGTTTGGTAGGAAAGAAGTCGATAATACTGACAACCAATTGGCGGTTCTAAGAAAGGCCACGATAGCCGAGGACACGGAACCAGAAACCTCTGCATCTGGAGACTTTGTGGAATATTCCTTGCGGACTACTAAAACCCGTGATGTTCGGATCACCAACAAAGAGAAACGGCTTGCGGAACTGAACAGGCGACAACAACAGAGGCTCAAGTTACTGCGATCACAAGCAGTCTATTTTGTGGCCATCTTCCTTATTTGCAACGTACCAACCTACGTGCTTCGCTTCCTCGAGGCTAGTACCACAACTGAGATTGGATTCAAGGAGTTGTCCTATCGATACTTTCCGCTTTTGCTCTTGCAATCCTTTCTTTACCCGCTTCAGGGCTTGATGAACATGTTTGTTTATCTGAGGCCAAAGTTCATGACTCATCGGGCAAACTTTCCAATGCAGTCAAAACTGTGGGTATTTCGGCGGTCTGTTTTTGGTTCCGTTATTGAACCGAAAGAGGTTGTAGTCTCTCATGATAAAAAGGAACAAGAAGCCGGAACGGACAAGGGGCAAGTTTCCAAGACTGGGGAAGACTCGATCTCATCACATTACGATTTGAACTTATCAACAAGTAAGGTGCCCCTCGAGATCAGGCAAAAACAAGTACAAGTTAGTTTCAGGATGGACCCGGACTCTATAATTGACGATTCAGAAAGAACGTACTGAGTGGATGGGCGAGAGCATGGTTGATCTGCAATCAAAGTTTCTGTTCCATTCCTTCGATCTTGCTGTCATTCGAGTTTGGAACAGAATGAATCGAGCTCACAATATTCTTATGCCAACACGACGACGACGCTATTCGGCCTCAACCACACCAGAAGTACGCAACCCAACGACAACTGGTGATCAAAGGACACCGGGAGCAGTGTTCATCCCATGTTTCAAGCTTGATCAAAATTAGCCATATCGTCTATCAACGTTTCTTGAAAGTTTTGAAGCCGATTACTCTTTTTGCGCCCTTTTCCACACCTTTGAATATTAGTCCAATTCGACTATCGTTAAATTTCAAAGTACTACAGTAGGCGTAAAGCATCGTATGCGCGCGTTCGCATAAAATGCAGATGATGATGAATGCGATGATTGCATACTGCGGCATATTTACTACTGGATGTATCGTATGCATTCGCAAATCATCATCTATACGATCATCTTTCTATCATCATCAACGACGTAAAGCATACAAGTCGCAATGGCGGACAAAGGCAAGAGTGCAAAGGATCCCACCCACTACTGGGTGGACCAAGTGGATCCAGAGCTCATGAATGACATCATACGTGATTTTCCTGATACGACCATCGATTCCAAGGAGAAACATGAAAGCACACACGAAGTCTTGTGTCGGCCTGGACCCATGTTGGAAGGAGTCGAATCAGAAGAAATCCCTAGGATTGGGAAAATGTACTTTCCAAAAGAAGAAGAAGATTCTACCAAGACAGTAGCGACATCAGCAGCAGTCTTGTACATTCACGGTGGAGGAAGGATCATGGGAACCTATGCAAGTGGAGCCAACAACAAAATATGTTCCAGAATTGCAAAGCTGCTCAATGTTCCGGTTCTTAGTGCAAAGTACCGATTGGCTCCGGAGCATCCCTTTCCAGCTGCACTGGATGACTTGTTGTAAGTGATGAATTTCATTTTTCTGTTGTGTTTGGTGGTGTCTAATCTCGGATCTCCAATCGTTCCTAATAATAACAGAGCTGCCTACAAGTGGTTGGTCGATTCCATTCAGAAAAAAGCCCCTTCCATCACTAAAGAAAATATTCGAGTTGGTGTCAGTGGAGAATCTGCTGGTGGGGGTCTTGCGGCAGAATTGTGCCAATTGCTTCTCGATGATCATAATAATGCCAATGCTGACTCCTGTCCATTGCCAGTGGCTCAACTCTTGATATATCCAATGTTAGACGACAGAACCTCTGTCGGCTCGGACAAAAGCATCATACCTCATTTGCTGTGGAGCCACACTAGCAATGTATATGCGTGGTCGGCTTATTTGAGGCCGAACCATCAGCCGGGGCAAGACCAACTTCCAAAGTATGCCTCTGCCGCGCGACGTACGAACATGGAGGGCCTCCCTCCTACGTGGATTGCCGTTGGAGACTTGGATGTCTTTCGAACAGAGTGTCAAGACTATGCTACGCGCATGAAAGATGCTGGAGTACCCACCAAATACCTGGAAGTGAAAGGAGCATATCACGGTTTTGTGAGCTTTGGCAGCGGGGAAGAACCTCCGGTTCAGCAACATTGGCAGAGTTTTCAAGACTTTGCCTTGCCATACTTGAATCCATTCCGTACTTGAGGAGTGAAACTGAACCGAATCATTGTTGCTTCCGTCGCTACCATGGGGTATCCAGTCACCGTGGTTCAAGATAAAGGATACACATCGAGAATTCTGGACACTCTTAAAGGTTTGCATGGATGAATCTGAGGTATCTTGAACTCCAATCTTCGTAGACGAGACCAAATGAAGCATCATGGAACAATTCAACAAAGAAGCCTTGATATCGCTGAAGATGTTTTCATATAACATTTGTATTATTCTAGCTAGATAGGATTTCAAAAGTTGAAAATAAAGAGTACAAAACCGGAGTAGATGGTATGACAGATGCTGAGCGTAAAGGCACCCACTGCTGTCAGCAGGCGCAGCAGCAGTGTTGTTCGTCATTCAGCAGAACAGCATTTTTGACATGGGCCAAAAATTCAAAGTACTCGATGGACTTTGTGGTGTTTCCGAGCTTGTGTTCAATCACAGCTAGGTTGTTAATGACAGCAAATGGAAACAAGGCATCGTCTTTGCCCTCGCGCACATTCGCGGCGAGTTCGAACAAGCGCTTGGCTTTTTCCAAGAGGTGCGTTGGGGGGACTTCTTTATGACCATAGGCGTATCCCTGGTACGCCAGGGCCACGTTGAAGAGGATCGCAGCCGCGACTATGCCAGAATCTGTAGCTGAAGAAGGAAGCCGTATGCCCTGGTCGTAGATGAAGGTGCCGTCGCAGCAGAACCTGTCAAGTTTAGTGAGAAGCATGCACTGATCAATGCTGGAGTCGGCGATGTGGCATATTGGAAGCTCCTTTTGCGTCCGTAGAGCTTCCAAAAGCTTGGAAATGGCGGATCCGAACGCATGCTGCTCCAGAAGAGCAACAGCCATGTTATTCTGGTCAATGATTGAGTTATTGTTCATCATGAAGACGAAGAAGGAATGTGAAACAGGATTGATTGTATTGTATTGCCTGAAAGCTTATGAGAGCATGAGAAACAGTGCCAAGTGATGAAACTGTCAGTTTCACAATGAGAATGCGGAGGAAAGTGCGGAGGATTGGCGTCGTCTACAAGAAGTATAGAAAGCTCAATGTTCAATATTGTCTGATCAAAGATAGATCTTAAATTGCTCGTTTACTGTTATCGGATCGCTTATATATCTTTTGGAGACAAAGATACAATCACCAAGTTCACCCGAACAGCTAAGAACTTCAATGCTCAGCGTTGTCTGATCAAGGATACCGCTAGAACTTCAGTCATCAGTGGCGCTTTTATTAATGTCTACCTTTGGGAAGACATACTCGAATACTGTCACCAAGTTCACGCGAATTCTCCCTCCTCGTTGTTCTCTGATGGTACCAAAGACGAACTACCATCTTTTCTTTCGGGGGGTGGAATAGGTGAACCGGCACAGTCACCAACTTCGCAAATGACCACCAATACCACCATTCACGTTCTCTAGCCGCCATGCTGAAGATATTATTGGCTCATCATTAGGTTATTTTTCCACGACGAGTTTTCGACCAACGGTGTACTGCTGTGGCTGACTCTTGTTGACCCAAATATAACCATCGCCTTGCAACCGACGCTTCACTGTCTATCATTGGTAAATGGTGGGGAAGTTATGCTAATATTTATTGAGGAGTCAAACTCTCTGGTCGGTTCTTGGTCGTTTCCGTCAGACACTGTGGATCTAGATATAATATCCACCATAAAGAGTCTCAGACTTTCTCTCTGGCTTGGGAGAATCAGCAGACCACAACAAGAACCATCCTGGAACAATTCATGATTCAACAGACGAAGTCTTCATACGATAGAAGAAGTGTTCAAAGAGTAGTTGTAATATTCTAGATAGGGTTACAAATTATAGCACCAAAACACACAGTAGATGATTTGACAGATGCAGAGAGAGAGAGAGAGACGAGCCATGACATCCACTGGTGTCAGCAGGCGCCGTGTTGTTCATCATTCAGTAGAACAGTATTTTTGACATGGGCCAAAAATTCAAAGTACTCGATCGATTGTGTTGTGTTTCCAAGCTTGTGTTCAATCAGAGCCAAGTTGTTAATGACAGCAAATGGAAACAAGACATCGCCTTTCCCCTCGGCCACATTCGCGGCGAGCTCATATAAGCGCTTGGCTTTATGCAAGAGGAAAGGAGGAGGGTATTTGTGGCCACTGGCGTATCGATGGTACGCCAGTGCCGCGTTGAAGAGGACGGCAGCCAAGATCATGTCGGAATCAGTTGCTGAAGAAGGCAGTCGTATGCCCTGGTCGTAAATAAAGGTGTGGTCGGGGCAGAACCTGCTGCTCTTGTTATTGACCATAAGTTCAGTGAGAAGCATGCACTGATCCATGCTGGAGTCGGCGATGTGGCATATTGGAAGCTCCTTTTGCGTCCGTAGAGCTTCCAAAAGCTTGGAAATGGCGGATCCGAACGCATGCTGCTCCAGAAGAGCAACAGCCATGTTATTCTGGTCAATGATTGACTTATTGTTCATCATGAAGACGAAGAAGGAATGTGAAACAGGATTGATTGTGTCGCCGGTGAACCTATGAGCGAATGAGAAACTGTGCCAAGTGCTGAAACTGCCCAGATTGTTTCGCTCCATAATGACAATGCGTACTGTAGGTAGGAAGATGTGGAAGTTTGGTGTCTACACACGGCCTAACATATTGTCTGATCAAGGATCGATCGTTAGTGGCGTCTGATCACTTTTATATATTTTGGGGTGTACAGCACCAAGTTCACTACGGAACAGCCACTAGTTTCCGTCTTCATTGGTAGAAATAAGAACCGATGCATTTCGCATGTGTCTGATCATTCCATTTTGACATTTGGCATCTTTTGGCAGAGTACCTGGTACTCGTAGATGCACTCCATCTTCAAGCGAAGCTGTGAAAATGACCACCACCCACCTTCTCCAGTCAGTCTGCTGACGGGTTTCTTGTGAAGCTGTCTCCTGCCATTTGATTGGCTTACGAGGATTGTTTTCTCACAGCGAGTTTTCGATATTAGGGAAATCCCAGAACGTTTCAAGCGAGAAATTTCTCCGTCAATTTTAAAATAAATATACGAGGATTTCCTACTAGCTCTACACAATACTGCATACAAACATCGTTGGAGTGATCAAGACTACCTACATTTATCAGGTTGAAGATGCTTCTGAGCTGTTCATGAAATGCTCACAAAGTCCAGATCACAAAAACAACACCATTCCACCAAGCAAATAGAATAGAATATATGCTCAATGATTTCCAACGAAAGCCAATCCCCACTTGCCGCTCTTACTGAAGAGATCGGTTCAAGTGCATTCAATTACTTGATCAAGACCTTCAGCGAAACTATCTTGCAAAATGTTGATTTGGAAGTTGCCTTCAAGGGAATGGAAGCGGAAGTTCTTGCGGATCACATGAAAAACCTCATCAAGATGGTCTTCGGATACAAATGCAAGTCTAACTTGGTTAACAGCAACATCCGTGGACAAGTTGTTTTGAGAAACTACGCTCTCTTTGAACTTGGATTGAGTCGTGTTCAATTGCGCAAGTTGCAACTTCACTTTGAAGCTGCCATGCGTGATTCTATGGTCGAAGGAGAAGTATTTGAACAATGCAAGGAACGCTTCACCGACCTGTGCATCATCTTCGATGCAGAAAAGAGAGGCCTTCAACAACAAAGCTCGGATGCCATGTCCAATGATCCAGCAATGATCATGATGGCCCGCGCTGCCTCCTCCCGCTGCCTTGTGGCCCCCAAGGCTGCTTAAATAAAAGTTTAATCTTGGAAGACCAAATAGCTGGCAACCAAAGAAGGTACTCAACCAATGTAACAATATATACTGAATAGAAATAAGATACAATAAGAAAGCAACTGCCTACAATTCCATTTGCATAGCATCATGATCATTACTCCACAACATCAGACCATGACATTGTTCCAGAAGCTTCCAACGCCTTCATGAATGATCATGATACTATCTGTAAAGGGTAGCATCGGATTGACTTTTGAGAGAAGATTACGCTCCTGTAATGGTGGAAGGTACCAGGTTACAGGAACCAGGTTCGTGAAACCTCTTCTTACTGTAGAATTTCTCATATTATTTGGAACTTCTTCGAAAGCTGAGTCTTGATCAGAGGTATTTTAGGGAAATCGGCGGTTTTCCAATTGCCCCGCTGTTCTCTACGCGGGTTGCCTACTACCTCACAGGTAGATTTCACCGGAAACTCGGGAGTGACAAAGGTATTTCTTCCGCCCCCTATATTTGTTTCCCGTCAATACTCCTCTCACAATTTATCAAAAGCACGAAATCAAAAACAGCCACCGCAAGCAAATAGAATAGAATATATACAATCATGAGCAAACAAAGTCAATCCCCACTTGCCGCCCTTACCGAACAAATCGGTGGAGAAAGCGCATTCAACTACTTGATCATGACCTTCAGCGAAACCGTCTTGCAAGACCTCGAACTGCAAGTTGCCTTCAAGGGAATGGATGCTGAGGTTCTCGCCGATCACATGACCAACCTCATCAAGATGGTGTTTGGATACTCTTGCAAGTCCAGCATGGTCAGCAGCAGCGTCCGCGGTCGAGTTGTCTTGAGAAACTACGCTCTATTCGAGCTTGGGTTGAGCCGTAGCCAATTGCGCAAGTTGCAACTTCACTTTGAAGCTGCCATGGTCGATTCTATGGTCGAAGGAGACGTCTTTGAGCACTGCAAAGAACGTTTCACCGACCTGTGTATCATCTTTGACGCAGAAAAGAGAGGTCTTCAACAGAGCCCGGATGCCATGTCCAATGATCCAGCAATGATCATGATGGCCCGAGCCCGCCGTGTGGTTCCCAAAGCAGCTTAGGTTCGCTCACACGTATGCAATGTCATAGAGTACGCACACCACTGCTAGCAAAAGAAACATATAAAATACAGTCGATAGAATAAAATATACAAAATAATACAGATACAATATCAAAACAACACCACAAGACCAGAGTCCATGAACGATTGTGCCTCATCATCTCAAATGCAGGGACATACTAAACCATTGCGACGATTGTGATTCACTGCAACGGCAATAATAAGGGGGTCATCATCGCCAATATCCCAGGCCGGTGTCTAACTCACTTTTAAAAGAGCTAGAATCCTGATTCATGATTCGACTATATGCTACCATGATGTTGTTTTGGAGGCTTCGTTCACTCAATCATCCGCGAATCCAATCCCCTAATCGTTCTGGTATCACGCCTACCATGGTTCCACGTCATCAAGGCAAAAGAAGCTAAATGGCTCTTGATGACAGGTCTTTAGTCGTGCTCCGTTTTCAAAGCCGACCTTCTTAAGAAGCTTTCCAATTTTAGGGAAAGAATGAATCAATCAATCCATCGCCCAATTTCTGATTGGCCCTTCTGATCAAGGTTATTGTCACTTCCAATACGCTACTGGACGGCTCGTACACACGTGTGTTCTATTCTTTGTGTACCGGGACCAACTCCCGTACTGGCACGCAATATATTGCATGCAGACTAAAGACTATCGTATCAATGACAAATTATTGTAGATTTTACGCCCCACAACCGCGCCCAAGAAGGTATCGAAGCAAGATCGAATTAGATTTTGAGGTGTCAGAAATCAGATCTCTGATAGGAATTTCACAAATTCCAAACTCGGTATAGGTACATCACACATAATAAAATGTACACAATGATGAACAATAAATCCCCACTTGCTGCTCTTACCAAACAAATCGGTGGAGAAAATGCTTTCAACCACTTGATCATGACGTTCTGTCAAGGCGTCTTGCGAAATCTAGACTTGGAAGTGGCATTCAAGGGAATGGGTGCTGACGCTCTTGCTGAGCACATGACCAACCTCATCAAGATGGTCTTCGCGTACACTTCCAAATCAAACATGACCAGCAGTAACACTCGTGGTCAAATTGTCTTGAGAAACTACGCTCTCTTTGAACTTGGATTGAGTCGTTCTCAGCTGCGCAATTTGCAGCTTCACTTTGAAGCCGCCATGATGGATTCAATGATCGAAGGGAAAGTCTTTGATCAGTGCAAGGAGCGTTTTACCGACCTTTGCATCATGTTCGACGCAGAGAATCAAGCGCAGATTCCATGATGAATGATCCAGCAATGATCATGATGGTCCGAGCGAGTCGCGGTGTGATGCCGAAGGCTGCTTAGGTTCACGTATGCAACATCATCACGGAATACACACAGAGGCACTACAAGTACCATACAACGAATAGAATAACATGCGAAATAGAAAATCAGATACCAAACCTAAGCTGCTTGCCAATATCGATATTGTTTCAGTTCGATACTCCGTTTGCTTGATGTGAGTTATCGTGACGGTTCACACTATCTAATCTACCGGTAGCTACTGTAAGTTCAAGAATCTTACGGTTTCTGTGGTACACATACCTGGTAGGCTGTACCTGGTACACTACAGTATACTGGGTATTGTATTTTGATCACGTTTCTTACCAAAGGCTTCGTACCGTAGAAACTTGCACGTCATCCGGGGGCAGATCCAATTTTTATTCCCAGTCACATTAACGCAGTGCTGGTACGGTATAAAGGAGGCATTAAAGTAACCCAACCTTTACAGAATAGTTAAAAAGAGAGAATTTTATAGATGTCTGGACCCTCCGCAACTCGTCCGTCCTTCGTCGTTTTAAGGGGGATTTTGCGTATTGAATTTACGGGGAGCGAATACATCATTCTTTAGGGGGAGTTGTTTAAAAGGGGGCATTACAGTTTTCCGAAAAATATTTTGTCGTGTTTCAAATTGATTTGTCGTGTTTCATTCGAGTTTGTCGTCTTTCGAATTGGTTTGTCGTCTTTCGAAATTTCTTGTCGTCTTTCGAAAAATCTTGTCGTCTTTCGAAAAATCTTGTCGTCTTTCAAAAAATCTTGTCGTCTTTCGAAATTTCTTGTCGTCTTTCGAAATTTCTTGTCGTCTTTCAAAAAATCTTGTCGTCTTTCGAAAAATCTTGTCGTCTTTGTTTCAGCTTGAAGTTGTCGGATGGAAATACATATGCAGCATTCTCGCCTATCTCTCATGATCTTATCATCGGACGAAGATCCGCCCATGAACCACATCCTCACTCCATCGGAGATGACGAATATCACGGCCTTTCTCCATTGGGGATACGTGTGGAAGGGAATCAAATGTGCGAAGGGGAAAGGCGAATGTCTTCCACTTCAAGCACCATTTTGGAGTCTCTCCTTGCCGTGCAGTTTGGATCTAGACCGACCTGCAACTAAGCAACATTGCAGACACCAAGATCAACGAAGGAGACGAAGATCTTAAGTACTTCTTAATGGGGCTTTACTGTCTTCGAAAAGTAGTTTTTTGGTCAACGATCAAAACATGGGAAACGATCAAAAAGATTCAAGACGTGATTTTGTAAGGGAAGAAACTAGTCAGAAAGGTATGAGTTGGGTGCTGTCGACGGATGGTAGTCACCGTTGGATCGATCAATGAGCCTTCTCATTCGGACTGCAGTCAAGATCCCCGATACTACCTTCACAGATACAATAATAAGCCACGGGTTTGGAATTTCGGTAGTGGACAATCGGCAATTGTGGATGCGTGGTCCCATTCCATTCAAGAGCAGTCTTCACCACTCCATAATATTCTGACTGAAGATGCTGTAGATAGATGTAAAGACAATAAACAAGAGTTCTAGACCAGCAAAAGACCAGTGTATTATACATATATCCTACCATCCCTGCTACTTCACTGCAACATGTGATACAAATCTCAACAGATAGATATAAAATGTTCTTTGAAAAGCATTTCTTTCAAAATTCTGCTCGATCATGCATTTCCTTTGACATGTCATCTAAACTGATTGTGACACTCGTCGAACCAGTTGAGGCGTCAGTAGCCCGATTATAGTTGGAGACAACCGTATCTGGGTTGTAGTAGAACTCAAACTTGAGAACGGGAAGCTTGGCAATAAGAATATTGCGAGAAGTCGGATCATGGAGCTTGATAATAATCCAAATCCTGTTTATTGTTGGATTCGAGTTTAGTAACAATTGTCGTCACATCTCCAAATGGAATCCTTTGTGCCTTTCAATGATGCCACTTGATATTAGGCTCCTTCCCGCCTGGAGCCAATGTTTCACCGGGTCCTCCAAAAAAGGCATGTTGTCGCCTTCCTTCATGACCTTGACGTAGCGATAGTTCTCGCACATGAGCGTATTTTCCTGGTTTTTCTGCCGTCCGTCGCTTCTACTTTGGACCATGAACAGGTTTAGGCGGGCGTGATGAATTTTGTTGTCGTCGTCTTTTGAATTGATTTGTCGTCTTTCGAAATTGATTTGTCGTCTTTCGAATTGATTTGTCGTGTTTCATTCGAGTTTGTCGTGTTTCATTCAAGTTTGTCGTGTTTCAAATTGATTTGTCGTGTTTCATTCGAGTTTGTCGTCTTTCGAATTGGTTTGTCGTCTTTCAAATTCTGTTGTCGCGTTTCGGAATCTGTTGTCGTGTTTCGAACTGGTTTGTCGTGTTTCGATTCGACCCAAAAGTAGAACTTGGGGCCCCTAAATTTGACTGCAAAACATAATGGGGGAAGACTAGAGAAAAGTGCTTCCCCCCGTTTAAATTGGACGACAGACAGACGAGTTGCTGAGGGTCCTGTAGAAAGGCACTTGAGAGTGCTTACGTGGACCTGATGACTAAAGTCTAGTTCTTTACTCAACCGAAGGAGCTTCTAGAGTCCCAATACCTTGGGCCTATTCTTTGGGCCGTTTCATTATAAAAAGCCCCCAGCATAGAGGCATATGCGAAATGGCCCGTGGTGACTGGCTCTGACTGGAGCATTTTTTAAAAAGCTGACCTTATTCTTTGGAGGCTTTCCTATTTTTCGGAATAAATCAATCGTCTGATTTCTAATGGCCCCATCTCGTCGACCTGCGACGGTTCATTTTTCATTAGGGTTGCGTGTGCAAGAAAACGGGAATGACATGTTGTAGCTTTTCGGCCCCCAATACCGCGTCCAGCAAGTCATTGAAGTGTCAGAATTTTGCAAGATCACTCTCACAAATTCCAAATAACAAAATCTATACTGCACACAATAAAATGTACGCAATGATGAACAACAAATCCCCGCTTGCTGCTCTTACTAAACAAATCGGTGGAGAAAGTGCATTCAACTACTTGATCATGACGTTCTGTCAAGGCGTCTTGCTAAATCTAGACTTGGAAGTGGCCTTCAAGGGAATGGATGCTGACGCTCTTGCTGAGCACATGACCAACCTCATCAAGATGGTCTTCGCATACACTTCCAAATCAAACATGACCAGCAGTAGCATTCGCGGTCAAATTGTCTTGAGAAACTACGCTCTCTTTGAACTAGGATTGAGTCGTTCTCAACTGCGCAAATTGCAGCTTCACTTTGAAGCCGCCATGACGGATTCAATGATCGAAGGGAAAGTCTTTGATCAGTGCAAGGAGCGTTTTACCGACCTTTGCATCATGTTCGAGGCAGAGAAGCGAGCCCTTCAAGAAAGCGCTGATTCCATGATGAATGATCCAGCAATGATCATGATGGTCCGAGCGAGTCGCGGTGTGATGCCAAAGGCTGCTTAGAAAGGTTCATATATCTGATGCAACATCACGGAATACACACAAAGCTACTACAAGTACCATACAACCAATAGAATAACATGCGAAATAGAAAATCAGATACAAGTCCTAAAATACTTACAGTCCATTTGCTTGGACTGATGTGAGAGAAGAGGGGTTTTCAGCGAAGCTCTTCGTCCATGCCGAACGATCCAGCAAAGATCATGATGACCCGAAATGCCGCTTTCCGCCATTTGGTTCCCAACGCTGCGTTCGTATCATCATAACGTGCCGTAAACAGAAGAAATAACCAAGCGATAGCCAACTGGATGGAACTCCATCTTTCTGTGAGTATACTTGCAAACAAGTATTGCGGAGATGATCGCCTGACCGTCGTTCATAGGGTCAATATTGAGTCCATTGGTTCGACCACTTCTCTCAGAGAAATAAAACAAGTCGAACGTTGGGTCGATTGAGTCAGAGGGAAAACGAGGATTACAGCATGTATATATGTGGCCAACTGCGACATGATGCGACACGGAGCTAAAAGAAAATGTGTACTACTAAATTAATATCTTAAATCTCCGTGTTCACGTGCACACCCACAAAGTACAGTAGTAAGCAAAACTGCCCGGGGAAAAGAAGACGGGCCACTTTGCAGATTAGATCGATTGTGTAGCCTTTCGGTAGGTAGATTGTGAGCAATCACGATATTGCATAATATTACATTGATTTTGCAGCTCGGTGGTGTGCAGCAATCCCGATATTGTAGATTACATGAGACTTGGGCTGTTACGCAGCTTTGGGAAGCAAACGGCGGTTGGAGGCAGCTCGAGCCATCAGGATCTTTGCTCGATCATCGAGGATCGACCTGGAAGAAGAGCTACGTTGAAGGCGTCCTTTCTGGTCTTTGGTCTCTACTGTAGTAGCTTGAGAAACTAAACTGCGAGAGGATGCAGCTCGGTTCAGACTGCGAGAGGATTCAGCTCGATTCAAACTGCGAGAGGAAGCAGCTCTTTCCAAACTGCGAGAAGAGGCAGCTCGAACCATCATGATTCTTGCTGGATCAATGGACATGGCAGTCGACCTTTGTGCAGGGCCTTTGTTCTCTTCGTCAAACATCTTGCAAATTTCGGCGAAACGATCCCTGCACATTCCAAAAACTTCTCCTTCGACCATGGAATCCCGCAGGGCGGCCGCGAAGTGAAGTTGCAACTTTCGCAATTGAAAACGACTTAATCCAAGTTCGAAGAGAGCGTAGTTTGTCATGAGAATTTGGTTGCGGATGGTGCTGTTGACCAGGCTGGACTTGAGCTTGTATCCGAAGACCCTCTTGATGAGATTGGTAATTTGATCGGCCAGTTCCTCAGCATCCATTCCCTTTAAGGCAACTTCGAGATCAAGATCTTGCAAGGCGCTTTCACTAAACGTCATGATCAAATTGTAGAGTTGGCTTTCTCCGCCAATTTGTTCTATAAGGGCGATAAGTGGGGATTGACTTTTGTTGCACAGCATTGTGTATACTCCTATGTTGTGATGTTGTTTGAAATTTCTGTTCTGGAATTTGTGATCATCACAGCATGCGACAGCTTCTAAAATATATTATGGAGGAAATCCTCCCTTATTTATGTGGCACAAATGCCAGCAGTCATTTTATTATTCCTTCCGTGCGTTATTGTTTCGTGTAATACACAGTATATTATGCACCAAACAGTGAAGTACTGTACGGTACAGTATATCACGAGTGACTGAGACTTTGCCGAATCGGATCGGCGAAAAACTATCAACGGGCCGACTTTCAAAACTGGCAATCAAAAACACCAAAACTGCCCCATATAATATATACGGAAGTCAGTAAGGGCCATTATTACGGCACGGAAGGATGAGATCGATGACGATCATTCATTATACTGGATTTTATGTTTGTGCAGTGAATGAGAGTCGGACGCCCCCATCGAAGTTCAGCTGATCAGTTTGCGTGGAGGAGAAGAGAGGAGGATACCTACGCTTTAGAAAAAGTATGATGATGCGGGTAGTAGTACGACTGCAACTAACTGCCTCTAGCACATTCACGACTATCATATGAAATCTATCAACAACGCTTCTACTATCGACTGTAGTATGACAGCGGCTCTCTATTAGTCAAACCCCATAATTGTTCCAAGCCACTTGGTTGCTAGCTAGTACTACTTTCGTCCGACCATCGTTTCTTTGCTGAACAGTTTGCCGATAATGACTCAGAGTGTCTACTGACATACGTACCAGGCTTTGATTGGCAGGGGACGATGGCCTTGAATGGAACGCTGGCATTTGAAAAGGGCTGATTTGACGTCGACAATAATTCCTATTCGCTTTGGCCCTTCATTCCAATGTCGCAAAGTGTGTTATTTTACTGTTCATATACGGTGCACGTGTTCAGTGTACCGGTACCGGCACATGTGTTCCGGTATATCATATAAAATACATAAAATATATACCATCGAAAAGATTCGGGAATATTTTTATACCGGAAACTTTACGCCGCGATATTTTCCGTTTCCACCGCAGCCGGGCACCACGACCGAACTTATTTGTACGAGTAGATTTCACATTGACGATACCGTATCCTTCTTTTGGTTGCGATATGGCTCACAAACTACAAACCAGAAAATCCAAAAGCCACACATCAAAGTAAGTATTTACAACGATGCACAACGAAAGCGAAACGCCACTTGCCGCTCTTATCGAACAAATCGGTGGAGAAAGCCAATTCAATTTCTTGATCAGGACGTTCAGTGAAAGCGTCTTGCAAGATAATGAATTGGAAGTTGCCTTCAAGGGCATGAATGATGCTGAAGCTCTTACTGATCACATGGCCAACCTCATCAAGAGAGTCTTCGGATACAAATGCAAGTCCAGTATGACCAACAGTACCATCCGCGGCCAGATTATCTTGAGAAACTACGCTCTCTTCGACCTTGAACTACGCCGTAGTCACTTGCGCAAGTTGCAACTTCACTTTGAAGCTGCCATGCGGGACTCCATGGTCGAAGGGGATGTCTTTGAACACTGCAGGGATCGTTTCCATGACCTTTGTAAGATTTTCGACTCACGGAGTAGAGGTCTTCAAAAAAGCTCTCCTTCCATTATGTCGATCAATGACCCAGCAAGCATCATGATTCGAGCTGCCTCCGACGAACGTTTGAAAGGAGGCCTCAATGATCCAGCAAGAAAAAAGATGGTTCGACCTGTCTCCAACGACCGTTTCAAAGGTCTTCTTCAACAACGAAGCTCTTCTTCCACGTCGATCCTCAATGATCCAGCAAAGATCATGATGGGTCGAACTGCCTCTAACGAGCTTTTGAAAGGCCTTCAACGCACCAGCCCTTCTTCCAGGTCGACCCTCGATGATCGAGCAAAGCTCCTGATGGCTCGAGCTGCCTCCAACCGACATTTGCTCCCCAATGCTGCATAAGTTCTCCTTTTTTATGCAATATCGTCATTGCACACAACCTTGTCCTTCACATAATCGATTTTTAATTTTAAATAATAGAACACGCAAATACAATATAATAGTATCAAATAAAACTTCTCACAATCAATATAATAGCATGATCCACAAAACATATGTCCTTTTATAGTTTACTTATTTATTCATCCGTGGGGCTAAAGGTCCATTGGATACTCGATTCTTCGTCATCGTACTTGTTCCAAGCAGCAGCCCACAAACTCGCTCCCAACCAGCAGATCCAGTCTGGACGATGAGGATAGGTTGAAATCAGCTGTAGCTTTGGTGCGAGCGCGGCCAAGCTCTTTGTTTTGACAGGAGTATGAGTCATAATTTCTTGTTCCGGTGTCACCAGCTTCAATGGGGTCGGGTTGCCTTCTAGAATGGACTTGACTCGTTGTATCACGCGGCGTGACAAATCTGGAAACAGCAAGGAACCTTCTCCAGCAAAGACAATGTTAGAGACACAATTGTGCCTGACATCTGTTGGACACTCTTCCATGGTCTTGAGAACGGCAATGACGGCGGAGTTCGGATTGTTCTCATTCAGAAACAAGTCCTCCATAGCAGGGGTCCATTCCACTTGCAGTTTGTTTTCTTTTGCCTCCTCTTGGTCTTGCTCTTGTTCTTGTTCTTGCTCTGGTTGAATCATCAAATTCCCATATCCAATGGGAACACTTTGGTATGTATACGGCAGAAGGTGCCCATCCGAGTGACAGACAGAAACTGTTTCGTCCTTGCTGACATGGACAATCAATCCTCGTTTCCATCCTTGTGCCACGGGCAAGATTTCCAGATTGCTCCACACCGTCACGGCCGGTACACCCTTGTTCCAAAGCAATTGTTGCAATGCCTTGATCAAGTTGGAGGAAGCCAAATGGGGCAAGACACAAACGACCCGCCGCGTGGTTGGATTGCACATGAGACGATCGTAAACTTTGGATATGACCGGAGAAAGCACATTGTACCACTGGGTGTCCGTCAAGTTTTGATTCAAGGAGAATGGTTTGGAGGTGTCGTGGGAAGTGAACTCCTCTAGGGACAGTGTGTGATGCGGCTTGGTCTGTTCGGCGTAACCGACCCTTAAAATTTGCGAATGATTCAATTCCAAGACAATGGGAGTCCGAGAGATGGCAAAGGTTCGGACTGCCGTTCGGGCACCAAAGCGATTGGTACGTCGCACTGTGCTTCGAGACGCTGTGGTTCGAGGATTGGATCCAACGGATGAGGATCCTTTGCTATCCAACATGATGCTGTACTAATATTGCCTTGAGGATGACACAGAGACAACAATAACAATACAGTATTATTGATGATGATGATGATGATGCTGTTATTTTGATTTTCATGATTGCATTGTCGTTCCAGTAGCTTCCGGGTTATCTTTCCTCCTGTGGGAAGGCGGGCAGGCGGACAATTTATTAGAATGAATCAATCAGTTGAAGTCGTCTGGGTCCAAAAATGCTGACCAAATTGAATTGATCAAATCGCCCCCGCCAAAAATGACAAAAATACGTGTACAATAATATGCGGTGTGACACGAGTTTTTCGTGTTTTTCGTGTCAGAATATTCTTATTGAACTTATTGAGCAAGACTATAAAAATTGATCCAGGTTCTCCTGCACCTCGTATCTGTTGCTTTATAGCACCCATTAGAAAACAGTCATGGAGGAGAAAGTAAGAGAAGAGGTAGCGAAGGAACCCATGATTGGTCAATATTCTGAAGCAGCCCTGTTAGAACGTGCGCAACAGATTGTGGAGGAACGAACTGCCGATTGGGAAACCAAATCAAAGCAAATTCCACACTTTGACCTCACTGAAATTGAGACGGGCGCCGAATTGGGCAAAGGAGGGTTCTTTGTCGTCAAGGAAGTGACGAGTATCTTTCTGCAGGACGCGACGGAACAGGCGCTACCAAACACTGCTGCTATGGAGGATGAAGATTACATTCAAGGTGTGGTGCAAGATCGGGAATTCATGTCACATCACACCATGAGGGGGAAGGACTGTCGCTATTGCATCAAGGCCATGCTTCCCGACTGTCATAGTGACCCATCCAAATTCGTCAATACCATTGTGGATATCGCTATAGAAGCCAAATTCTTGAGCGTGATACGGCATCCTGTAAGTTCATCTTCATTGTTTGGTTACTGTCCATATGCGCGACTGTTATGGTAGTAGGTGCATTGAACTAATTGTTGGATTTTATTTTACACTTTTATACTGCTCATAGAACATTATCAAAATGAGGGCTACCTCCAAAGGGAACATTTGTGCTCCAAACTCTTTTTTGGTAAGAAGACATGCATATTCTCTTTGACACAAAATTGATTGCAATCCCTACTCACCTTTTGCAATTCCAATTATACCAAGATTCTGGATCGTTTGTATGATACACTGGACAAACGTCTTGTCCAGTGGGGGAAACGAGATCAACAATGGAACCTTTTTGATTTCCAAAAGAAGAAGGAGAAAGCCTTTTTGGCCGAACGATTGACCGTGGCCTTTGATGTGGCAAGCGCCATTGAATATTTGCACGATCGATCCATCATTTATCGAGATTTGAAACCGGACAATGTTGGTTTTGATGTTCGGGGTGACGCCAAACTCTTTGACTTTGGATTAGGTATGTGTGTGTGGGTGTGGGTGTGTGCATGTATATTTGCGATTGAATTTTGTATTATACACAAGGAATGCACCATTCTCAACATGTCATTGATAAAAATCCATGTCTTCTCCCATCATCACAAAAAGCAACCGAGTTTGATTCTTCCAAAACCATGGGATCTTACAAATTAACAGGGGACACTGGAACCATGCGATACATGGCACCAGAAGGTGAGACTGTTCGATTTGGATACTTTTTTTAAACTTTCAACCATGGCATTCCTTAATTCGCTAACAACAGCACATACCATTCATCTTGTAATCTTGACGACATACTATCCGGAAAAAAACAGTGGCATTGAATAAGGCGTATACCGAAAAGGCAGACGTTTATTCGTTTGGCATTATTCTGTGGCAAGTCTTGGCACTGGAAATCCCCTATGGCCCATTACCAGACGATGGAATCTATCGAAAGGTGGTGCATTGTGGAGGAAGACCCAAGATTGAAGGAAAGTGGCCAACGGAATTACGAAGGCTGCTGCAAGATTGCTTTGCGTCAGGACCTCGGAGACCACCCATGACCCGCGCGTGCGAGATTATCCGAAAGGCGATTCATGAGGTTGGGGGCGAAACGTTAGTGGATGATGACATTCTGGATTCTGCCAGAAGTGCCAGGAGTCTACGGCATCACGACCCCAAGATGTAGATGCTCACACTGGTTTTTTTTATTTCTCGTTTCGCGCATCTCATCTCTCACCAGACGTCAACCTTCTCGAGTGATGATTGGAGGATCTGTATGGATGATACAACAAGCAAGAGTTGGGTATCGGTTGTCACAATCATTTTGGTCTTTGCCGCTACTTGTGATTGCCTTTTTGTACCTTCAATTATTCCGAGGCATGGTCTCGGAGTAATAAGACTAGCTAGCTAGCTACATGCTGTATGTTTCACCAGTGATCTACGAGAATTAGGAACACTTGCAGTCGACGCCCTATACCTTGTTCAGATCTGCTACAACATCATATATATAATACATAGAACTTAGATCCAAAACCAGTTGCAGACAAATGTGTGTTGTGAGTGTGTGTGTGTGTGTATAACTGCTTGTTGTTATTTTTCCTTCCTACTACAAATTAGTTACTATATTATGTAATGTCTATATATATAACTAGGTCTTGCCACATTTCTCTCCTTTAAAAATTCTCTTTTTCTTGTTTCATTTCGCTTTCTTTGTTTCTTTCTTTCTTTCTTTCTCTCTTTATACAGCCCCATGCTTGAGCATTTGATTGGCAATGCGCAAAAATCCAGCAATGTTAGCTCCGGCAAACAGATCACCACGGCAATTGAACTCATTGGCCGTGGTCTTGATTTCTTGATAGATGCGATCCACTTCAGTCTTGAGTTCTTCGTCCGTAGCTTGGGGGCCCAAGGAATGGACAATGGCTGGTCCAGACATGGTCATGGTATGAGGTCCGTATAGGACACCTCGCTTCTTGAGGACCTTGCGGGCGGCGGGAGTGACACATTCTTGACCACCTTCCAAGACGAGCTTGCATCCCAAATCGGCAACTGCATTGACGGCAGCTTCATCCATTCCGTGCATCTCTCCACAAGGAATGCAAATATCGCATGGAATATCCAACAAGTTTTCTGGCTTGTTGAATTGGGCAGTGGTGGAGGACATGACATATCGTCCCAAAAGAGCACCGCGTTCGGATTTGATGGTATCAATGGTGGACAATTTGTGTTCGGTGATACCCTCGGGTTCGTAGACGTGACCACTGGCATCGCTGAGTGTAATGGGAACGGCTCCATACTCCAATAGCTTTTGGGCGACACTTCGTGCCACCTTGCCGGCACCGATAATCAAGCAGCGCTTGCCCTTGAGCGAGTCTCCCTTGTCTTGGAGCAACTTTTCGCCAAAGTGAACGAGTCCAAATCCGGGAGCCTGAAATGTATAGTTGGGGAGAAACGAAGGAAGGAAATTGAAAGTGGGTTAGAATGTATTGTACATCATAAAGCCACACCAACACAATGAACAATGAACAATGGATCCACAATCATTCGCATATAGTAGTAGTACGTACACTTTCAAATTGAGAAGATGACAAAAAGTTGGCAGGCATTTGTCCAATGATTCTCTTGTATTGACCAAGCATGAATCCCATTTCTTCCTGTCCGACACCTTCTCCCATCCATGGAACATCTTGATCTGGTCCAATGTACTTGGCCAATTCGGTCATGTAGGATTGGCAAAAGCGTTGGAGTTCTCCTTCCGACTTGTCCAATGGATTGAAATCAGATCCACCCACAGCGGATCCACGTGGGAATCCAGTGACGGCATTGGCAAAGACTTGATCAAATCCTAGACAATGCACCACGCTGTGGGTCATGTGCGGTCCGAAATGGAGGGAACCGGAATAGGGCCCAAGTGCCGACGAATATTGGACCCTCCATCCTCGATTGAGTCGATTGATCCCAAGATCGTCAATCCACGCCACGCGGAATTGCAAAAAGCGTTCCGGCTCAATGAGTGTCTTGGCCACAAAGGCGTACTTTGGGTTTCGGTCAAAAATTGGTGACAAACACTGCAAAGTGGCCGTGAGGGATTCAATGTATTCGGCCTCGTGGGCATCTCGTCTCAAGGCTTCTCTGATAATCAAGTTGGAAGCTTCCATGCCGGTCTTGAAACGAACATCTCCTTGACGACGAAAGAGGGGCTTGTTTCTCCAGGTTTTGGAGACTTTTACGGTCTGATGAACTCCGTCTTCGCTCGTAATCAACGAGTTCTTGGGAATGTTCATTGGCTCTTTGGGTTGTTGGTACTCGTTGGGAGCGCTGGAGAAAACACGGACTGTACTCAATCCTCCTCTTGTGGTAGAAGGAAGAGCAGCTAGTGCCTTGGAAACGCTGCGAGACAACATCATCGTTACTACAATACTTCTTTTTGATGCAAGTGCCGTTTGCTGTGTGCCAGGTGCTGTAGTGTCTCAGAGAAAAAAAAGATCTTCCTTCGCTTTTTTGTGCAGTTCTGTTCGAAGTAGAATGTCGTTGCGACATTTCGCCTTCGTAGTACTGAAGTAGTCCCAATAGAAGCATTGGCCAAGAAATTCGAAAAGATACGCGCACGCAAGATGGGCGACAAAATTAGCCGCAACGCAAATTCAACTTGATTTGGATGCAGCTTGAATCAATCATCGAATCATCTGAACAAAGACACATTGCCTAATACTGAGATACTGTAGTAGCGGCAACATGAAGAAACTTTCCTTGTTGCAGTTGACAGCAGTGCTTTCAATAGCCTTGTCTTCGGTCATCAGCACAGTAAAGGCCAATTCATCGCCCTACACTACTGGCAACTTTCGAGTCGTAGTTGATCCATCCGCAGCTCTCCACAACAAAAAGACCTCGCGGCAACGAAATGGGTTCCTGTCTCCATCATCACTGCAACACGACGAAGATGCTAGAAGACGCTTGTCTGCAACAAAAGACAACAATGGCTTGCAAACTATGCTAGAGAAATTGCGCGTCAAACAACGGTGTTCGGAAACCTTGAGCATTGTGTCAGACAAGTCCAAGGTGGTGCTCTCCAAATGCAAACAGGTGGCCTCACACTATTCCAAAGCGGAAATTGGCTTGTATGCCTCGCTTGCGTGTGCGCTCACATTTGCCTTGCAAGGTGCGTTTTCTTCGAACCGAAAGATCCAGAATAGCATTGGAATTGCCCATGTTTCGGTGCAAGTGTCCTTTTGAAATCAAAATGCATGCATGCATGCATTCATTCATTCATTCATTCATCCATCCATCCATCCATCAAAAACAAAAGCACAGCTCCAAAGCACTCCAATTTGTATATGCTCACCTTGCGCCTTGCCTTGCCTTGTGTGTGATTATCACCATTTTCATTATTATTATTATTATCAGCTGTCTTTGCCAAGACTCCTTGCAAGACACTCGATGTTGGAATCATTACCTACCTACTGTCCATGGCCTCCAGCAGCCACTACATGCCCATCGAATTGGCCAACCCCAAGCGAACCTTACAGATCTACACGACTCCCTCGGTCTTTTCCACTGATGGCAAGACGTATATCAGGCTCATTCGAAAGGGATCCAAAAGCATGACCTACCACAAGAAGAAGACGATTGCCTCGTCGTCCCAAGAATCTCAAGTCCGAATGGAACCCGTCCAAACCTTTTATCACTCGACCGGACGAGAGCCAGCGGCAGATCCAGCCTCGCACAATGCCGTCCTCCAAAACATGACCCCCTACATGAGACAAAAGCTCAAGGCCCGTCGGATGCGAGGTGGTGGGACGCATGCCGGTTTAATGGAACGATTGACCATTGGATTTTACTTTGGAGCCTGGTACGCCCTCAATATTGTGTACAACAGTAAGTTTTTGGAAGGAGTATGTTATGCATTGGATCAGAAAGAAAGAGAGAGAGCATGTCATTTTGGAAACTGACAACGATATTCTAACGCTCTCCTGCTGCTGCTGCTGCTGCTGCTATTTTATCATAGTCATCAACAAGAAGGTCTTGAATGTGCTTCCAGCTCCACTTATTGTAGGAACCTTTCAATTTGGTATCGGTGCGCTCTACTGTGCCCTCGTTTGGTTGGTCAAATTACGGCCCATGCCCAAACTTACCGCCAGTGGAAAACAAGCAGTTATCACCGTGGGTATGTATCATGCCCTCGGACAATTGGCCAGTATGATTAGTTTGGGAGCGGGACCTGTCTCGTTTACGCACATTGTCAAGGCGATGGAACCCTTTTTCAGTGCGGTCGTTTCTGGGCTCTACTTTAAAAAGTGGATGAAGCCACAAGTCTACTTGACATTGGTGCCCGTGGTCTGTGGTGTGGGATATGCCTGCATGAAGGAGCTCAACTTTTCGTGGCTTGCCTTTGGAGCAGCCATGTCGAGCAACTTATTCTTTGCCTTGCGAGCCGTCATGTCCAAACTTGCCTTGTCGGGAGGTTCGTCGGGTACCAACTTGACTCCACCCAACATGTTTGGATTGGTCACTTGGGCCGCCTTCTTTTTGTCTGTCCCATTGGCAATTTTTGGAGAAGGCAAGTCGTTTATGGGATTGTGGGATACGGCTTTGAAGACGGTAGAAAGTCACGGACAATTCTACAAGTCATTGGTCATTTCGGGTTTGGTCCATTACTTGAACAATGAAGTCATGTACTTGGCATTGGGCAAGGTCCATCCAGTGACATTGGCCGTTGGAAATACCATGAAGCGGGTCTTTATTCTGGTAGCCTCGGTCATGGTCTTTCGCAACAAGATTACCGTCCAAGCTGGTATTGGATCGGGAGTTGGTATTGGTGGAGTCTTGCTGTACAGTCTCACCAAGCAATACTATGAAAACTTGGAACAAGCAGCCGCTGCCAAAGCACCAAAGACCGTGGGGAAGAGGTTTCGATTTGGAAAAAAGGTTTGATTCTACAGTACAGTATTGGGATCATATTATGATCAAGCAAGAAAAAAATCTTATATATGTGATGTGACTATCACATAATCGTCATCATTGTCCATACATTTATTGGGAGAAGAAACAAGAGAATAGCCTAAGAGCATGAGTACCCTGTAAGAATATAAATGGAAACGTACAGTATACCGATATTGGACTACAGTAACGTACACCAGACTTCGAACAAACCTGGGGCATGATTTAGTTGTATTGTAGTTTGTGTCTGTCCGTCGACTCCCAAGACATCACAACCCTTTCGCGCGCTTTATTTTTGTGTGCATCGCCGATCTTTTGCAATCATGACAACATCAACAAAAAGGTCCATTCATTCTTGCTACTATACTCCCACTATGAGATTTAGCCTTACTACACTTATTTTTACTATTCTTTGTGTCTCCACATCAGCCACCAAGCCTCCTGTCTTTGGTGTTTCCAATAAGGCTAGCCTTATTCATGCGCCAAAGTCGGCGTCCAACAAAGTGGCGGAATCGTCCTCATATCCCGAGGTGTCAATCATGGACGAAGCTTTATCTACGACTACTACTACTACTACTACTGCCATTGTGGAGGGTGATGACTCCAAGGATAAGATACAAATCCGAGGAGGAGCGACTACTTCCAGCAATCTAGTTGAAAATTTGACCATTTGCTTTTACTTTTTGGCCTGGTATGCTTTGAATGTCATTTACAACAGTAAGTTTGCTTGATATTCGTTACATATTACAATTGGATGACATCATTTGCATTGGACAATTTTTGTCGCCAGGAATCAAATACCTTTATCAGTATCCTCACGCCATATTTGCTTGATTCGTATTCATACTACAGTTGTCAACAAGAAGGTTTTGAACACTCTCCCAGCCCCCTTGATGGTGGGAAGCTTTCAATTCTTGGTCGGTGGTCTATACTGTTCCTTGGTTTGGTTTGTCGGCCTCCGCCCAATGCCCAAACTCACGTCGACTGGAAAGAATGCGGTCCGCAATGTCGGTTTCTACCATGCCTTTGGACAACTTGCTACGATGGTCAGTTTGGGAGCCGGTGCCGTTTCCTTCACGCACATTGTCAAGGCTATGGAACCCTTCTTTAGTGCCATGGTTTCGGGACTATATTTCAACAAATGGATGAAGACTCCCGTCTACTTGACTTTGATCCCCGTCGTCGGTGGTGTCGGTTATGCGTGCTTGAAGGAATTGAACTTTTCGTGGTTGGCCTTTGGGGCGGCCATGTCGAGTAACTTGTTCTTTGCCTTGCGAGCCGTCATGTCCAAGTTGGCCCTTCAATCGGGTGATTCGGGAACCAACTTGACACCACCCAACATGTTTGGCATGGTGACTTGGGCTGCTTTCTTTATTTCCATTCCTGTTGCATTGCTTGGAGAAGGAAAGACCATTGTTGGTCTGTGGAAGGATGCTTTGGCTTCGGTCGACAACCAAAGCAAGTTTGTGCAATCCTTGGTGCTTTCGGGCTTGTCTCATTATCTGAACAATGAAGTCATGTACTTGGCGTTAGGCAAGGTCCATCCAGTGACATTGGCAGTTGGAAATACCATGAAGCGTGTCTTTATTTTGGTTGCCTCCATTATGGTCTTCCGCAACCCGATTTCGGTCCAAGCGGGTATCGGATCGGGAGTTGGTATTGTTGGAGTCTTGCTGTATAGTCTTACCAAGCAGTATTACGAGAGCCTGGAAGCATCAGAAGCACAAGACAAGGGACGAAAACGAAGGGCTTAAGGTCATGCTTGATGAAATAGATTTGCTAGATTTGCTAGATGGTTGCTACGACATGGTCGAATCCCGAAGGGGTTACTTAATAGAGATGTTGTTCACTACGAGTATTTACCTTTGTCGACTGTAACGTCTGTTGCTAGCTCTTTCCCATGACTAGTGCAGCCAGCCAGGTTCCAGCAGGATTATCAACATCTTATCGCACCACTCGATGAAGATCCTCAGGGACCAGATAATATCGAAAACATCACTCTGTTAGCACTATTTGCGCTCCCATCTATCAATCTAAAAGTGCACATTCCTGTCTCTCCTCTGCTTCGAGATGTATATTGTCCTCTGGTGTTGTGTTCCTGTGGAACGAAAAAAGTGAGAACTCAAAGAATCCTTCAGGTCACACCTGTAGTAAAAGCGAACCAAAAATATTTATCTACTTTTCAACCGTAAGAAAAAATAATGACTTTTTTATAAAAGAGAACTTTAGTCGCGCTATATAAGTAAAGAGGCATTCCACGACATACAAATATTTATCAGATTGTCGATCGCAACGGAAAAGTCAAAAACTCTACGATCGATCGCGAACTCATAATGGGCCCTTCCAAATATTGCAACGCCCCTTCCAATAATTGCAACGCACGCCCCAAAAAGCTCTTCCGAAAGCAATTTTCAAAAGAAACCTGAAAGGAGAATGAAAACACTTCAACTCTCCGGACCGGACCTTTTACAACTTCATCACACACTAAAATATCCATCTTGTTTCAACAATATTCATCAGCGTAATAAGAAAACAGCAGCCATGAGCACAGCAGATACCCTGAAGTGTGGCTCCAACCACTCATTGCTTAGCGTCAATTCTCGAACAAGAGCTCAACTAATGAGAGACAACAAACTGAAAAGAGATAGTTTCCGAGTGGGTCAAAGAGAAAGCATTCAAGGAGCACTGGCGGGCATTCTTGGTGATAGCATCAACGATGACTGGAGTGTTGACGGCGAAAGCTTTTGCAGTCGCCAAAGTGCTCCAGCTCCGGCGTCCACCACCAAAGCGATGAGATACGGAAGGCGCTGTTCCATCACCAAGTTCTCTCTCGAACCACCACCAGCGGTTCCTACAAGTGTGGAAGCCCGCCACAACCTCGGCCGGAGCGACCATTCCGATGATGAAGTAAGTGTCTGCAGTCAACTAAGCGACACCAGTCGAAGAAGTGAAACCAAGAATAAGAGATATGGAAGACGGTGTTCCATCACCAAGTATTCTCTTGCGGAACAAGATAGCCACAGCCAACAGGAGGATTTTGAAACATCCTCTGTCCATTCGGGCACCTCTCATTCATCCTTCCCCGAGACACCTGTGCATTGCTCCACGATTGATAGTCTTCCTCTTCCAATGAAGAATAGACGAAAGTCCAAAAAAACAAGGGACTCGATCAGCAAGTACAGCAATCACGATTCCATGAAGGGTGATATTCTAGCGGCATCAATGCACACGGGCGACAATAAGAAGATGAAGAAGCGGTCATCCAAACTGGAGAAAAAGACTGATAACAAGACCTCCTCGCTCGCTAGCCCTGACTCACCAAGCACAGTGGCGTCATCAGAAGCTACCACCACCAAGAAGAAGAAGAAGAAGAAGAAAAAGAAGGAGTTGAAGCTCCACAAGGAGAAACCATCCGAGAGCGATTGTGCTTCCGTTTCATCATCCACTGTCAAAAGTGTGACCTCCGAGAAGCGAAGACAAAAGCGTCGTTGCTCGGTTACCAAGTACAATCTGGAAGTGGAAGACCAAATGAACACTAGCTTTTCGGGACCCATTCCTCCTCCAGCAGCAGCAGCAGCAGCCGTTATTGCACCCCCATCGTCTCCCACCAAGGCGACTGACGAAAAGGCTCCAGCCAGCCCTGCCAAGAGTCCTCCACGACGTCACTGCCAACGAAGAACCTCGGTGACTGCCTACACACCCGGCATTATGGATGCCGCGGAAAAATCACCAGGGGCCTTGAGCAAGCGCCCTTCCATTATTTCCGCACCCAAAACGAAAATGGAAAAGGAGACCAATAAGTCCCCGGGCCGGCAAGGCCGACGCAATTCCATCACCAAGTACAGTTTGGAAAAGTCAAAGCCTCAGAACTTTCCAGCAGCTGCTTGATTAGTGATGGGATATAATGAATTATTGAATTAGACTGCCGCAGTCTATACTATAGTCTTCTCTGAAACTAGTCTAGTAGTACAATGATCTGAAAAGAACACATTAGACCATTTGATTCATTCACCATTTTAATACATTATATCGAACGCAGAATCTGATAGCGAATGCGCCGAGCTACACTTGATCATATTGACCTTCACGCTACAATAGTACCGGTATATACCTACACTCAAATCTTAACATGGTTTCGAGTGAGGTATAGCAGGAGGTATATTATTCCCACAATGAATGATGGATTCTATCACGAAAATGAAATGTCATCAATTCTTCTTCATCCCCCCATGATTAGTCAAAGCACTTTGTACAGCAACCTTCTGCACAAGTGACGGAACAGTCAACCCCCAAATAAACGAGTGCTTCCTCTTTCACCAGTTCACAGATTTCTGGAGGTACACTTCCCGCCAGACCATTGTCGTACAGTTTCAAGTCCTTGAGCGTGTGGATGTACCCAAGTTCACTCGGTATTGGCCCGCTGAACGAGTTGTGATTCAATTCAATGACTTGCAACCGTCTCAACGAACCAAGGGTGGTGGGGATGGATCCGCTCAGTTGATTCGATTGCAAATGCAATTTGGCAATGTCCTTGAGCGAGGTGAACTGATCGGGAATGTCGCCCGTCAGTTTGTTGTATGCCAAGTCGAGGACTTCCAGATCCAACATCAATCCAACGTACAGTGGGATCTTTCCAGTCAAGGCGTTATGATTCACAATAAAGGATTCTGAAAAGGAAAAAGAAGGAGAAAGGTCGTGAGCGAAATGCTTTCCCTGTACACGAGTAATAATGATTTATTCATTCATTCATTCATTCGTTGATTCAAAACTTACTCAAGTCCACCAAACGGGATACACTATCGGGAATCCTTCCACTGAATTCATTGTTTTGCAGATCCAAATGTTGCAAGCGCGTGACTTGATAGAAAAGTTTCGATGGAATTGATCCAATGAAACTGTTTCGGTCGAGCATGAGAAATTCTTTGAACAAAAGAGAGAACAAAGTGTATTGGTCAGAAACAAGAAATTGAGCAAACGAAATCACAAAGAATTCTATCTAAGACGAAACATACCGAGTCGGGTCATGGCTTCCATTTCTGCTGGAAGTTGACCAGTCAGAGTATTGTTGGACAATCGAAGGTCCACCAGAGAGGTCAACTTGGCAAAGGATGGAGGCAATTTGCCCTTTAGATTGTTGGCTGCCAAATTCAATTCGATGAGTCCTTCAAATTCGACAAATTCGGGAATGTTTCCTTCCAAATTGTTGTCGTGGAGGTCCAAAGTCTTCAAAGTAAAGGATTTCTCCAGCTCGGATGGAATACTTCCACTCAGCTCATTGTGTCCCAGATCTAAATGCCGGATGGAGTTGAATGATCCAAATTCAGTTGGAATGGTACCCTCGATGTTGTTATTGGACAACAACAAGAAGCGAAGATCCTTCACGTTGGCCAGTTCTGTGGGAAGGGTTCCTCCAATGTTGTTGGTGCCAAGATTGAGAATATTCAGGTAGTTCAGACCAGTCAACTCGGATGGTAGACTTCCTACCAAACCATTGTTGTCGAGCGTGATGGATTCAATCTGAGCATTGCCAGATTCTTCATCTCCTCCAACGCAAGTGACTCCATACCAACTGCAGTATCCAGTGGATGTCATCCAACCTTCCTGAGTCTTCCATCCAGAATCAGGTTTGACATGATCCTTATCTGCAGATAGACTGTAAAAAAAGACAGCCATGATATAACGAGAAATCAGAAATTCATCATCTTCACTAATTTGGGATTCATCATTGTTGGTCAGCCACTGCAGTGCATGGTATTGCACTGATCCAGTTTTGGCAAAATCTTCCTGAGATGTCACTTGGGCTTCCACAATCTTGGCTTGCAAACCTTGCAGACGCTCTGTGCCAACCTTTTTGGCACCGGAAGAAGAGAGGCTGTGGATTCCCATGGAAAACAGGACGATACCGACAATTCCAGCCGCAATGTAGAGTAGTCGTTTGTTTCCATACGTCTGACAGGTAGTCATGGTCGCCATGAAGGCAGCCTGAACTGGATTCAATCGCTTTTCACTACCACTGAGGCTAGTCTTTCTCGGAGGCCTTACTGGTACATTTCCAGCTGCCGCAGGGACATCTTCGTCATACAAAAACCGACGGGCAGATTCCATTGTGGAGGGTGCCAAACCTTGTTTTCGCTTGTTGGCTTTGCCAACTTCTGCTTCACTCAAACTAGTCATGCTGAATTCCTTGATTCTTAGCTTAGACAATGGCTATGCTCTTATTTTTCTTGGGTGGGATAGTAGAATAACGGTGGACAATCAAAAGGATCACTGAACCAGATACGAAGTACGAGGTACGATATAATAGGATTATTGCGTTCTCGACCCAAGAAATCTAATGACTGGGGAGCAGGGGGCTGGATGACCCATTTTTGGGGGTAGAATATATTTTCCCTCCAACGAAGTCGAGTGAATATGGCACGATGCGAGAGGCACGTTTTCGGCGGATGATAGTAACATGTATGCATGGTGTATGTTTGAAATGCGGAATACCGCAGTATGCAGCACGGCAACACAACAGGAAGAAGGAGGCAAACAGACTAAAAGAGACGCTTGTTCTACTGTATAACGAAAATAATGGAGGGCAACAAACGACGATTGGTGGAGGAACTCATGAAAAAGTCCCACTACTTTTATCGTCAACGAAACTATCAAAAGACCAAGGAGACTTTAGAGACAGTGTTGGAGATGAAGACAGAAGACTTGGGTGAAGATGATCTTGAAGTGGCGGAAACACTCTACCAACTTGGAGGTGTTCTGAGGACGGAAGGAAACTTCAGTGAAGCCTTGGAAAAACTCAAAAGAGCACTCGCAATACGTGTTGCGAAATTGGGAGAAAATCACGCTGATATTGCAGACACCTACAGGGCTATTGGCAGTATCTTATATGAGGAACAAGAGAATTATGAAGAAGCCGAAAAAATGTACCGGAAAGTTTTGGATATCAAGCTGAAAATTTTGCCAAATGATCATTTTGATGTGACGGATCTGTACATGCATCTAGGGTACTTATTGACGAAGCAAGGAAAGTTTTCAGAAGCAACCAAGATACAGAAACTCCAACTTGCGACACTACTAGAAAAACATGGGGAAGACTACCCCAACGTTGTGCTCGTGTATGATGGTATTGCAGAGCTCCTGATACTGCAAAATAGGTTGGACGATGCTCTTCAGATGCTTGAGAGAGGCATCGAAATTTGCAACCGACTGCAACCTCTGGGAGACCACAACATGGATATACTGGCAAGAACGCTCCTCGAGAAAGCAAACATACTAGACAAGCAGGGCAACTTTGAAGCTGCCGCGGAGACGTTCAATAAAGTGGTAAGGATACAAGTTGAAACGGTAGGTGAAATGCACCCCGAAATAGCAGGGACCTACGAAGCGCTTGCAAGGGCATACATCCAACAAGACATGCCAGAAAGTGCCATCGAGCCGTACATGAAAGCCTTCCGCATTCATCGAAAGGAGCTTGGCAACGATCATGCTCACACTAAAGAGCTTGCGGTTTGCCTTGAAGTGTTAGAGCACCAGAAAAATGCGATAGCACTGAATGAACAGGGATTGTCGATGAAAGCGGAAGGCGATCTAGAAAGGGCGATGAAACTTTTCGAAGAGGCGCTGGATATGCACAAGGAGGTCTCTATTGTTAGTTTCACTATAGTATCTGTCTACGAGAACATTGCGGCTGTCAAAGTTGATCAAGGGTTGCTGGAAGATGCCATAGCTGCGAGTGCAGAAGCCCTCAAGATTCGTCGAAGAAAACACGGCGACGACCATGCGGACACAAAGCGAAGAATGGAAGCTCATAGATCTTTGTTGAGACGTCTCTTGGAGACTCGGAGCTAAGCAAGAGAGATCTTTAGAATAGAGTCGTCTCCACGCATTCAGACGCTAAATTGGTTGGTCAAACGAAGGCAACACCGGTTATCTAGCAACGAATCTGGTCTTGCACTCACACTCAAGGCCAATCCTAGAATTTGACCTTCTTTTGGTACTGTATACGTACTCTACCCACCAAGGTGTGTTGGTATCGATCCAAGTCTACAACGAGTAAGTCAATTTTTCGCGTTCCGCCCGCAACCTGACAGTGCCAAACGCAATTGAATCATGCGGCACTTGACCAGCAGCAGTTGATACAGCCATGATATTGGCCGCATTAAGCGAGAGCATTGCTATCAGTCGCTTACTGTGGGACGAGAACTTGGATGTACCGGTAGTACTGTTGCGGACTGCGGCTCCCTCATCTTTCGCTCACAGGTACCCCTGCTCATGGGCGCCGAAGGATACAGAAGAAAGGGAAACGGCAAGTACAAGGAGAGTATAAATACAAGGACAAGAAAAGCGCTCCAAGAAAAGCGCTCCAAGAAAAGCAGAAGACGAGTACAATAATGGAGGGACGAATTGATTTTCTTTAATCTCTCAATTTGATGAGCTCTTACAAATGTGTGTATCAATTGGTTGGATAATACGGAACACATTTCTGCATAAATTGATAGGACTAAATCAATTCATTGTGAGATGTTAGAATTCATGATCCTACTGGTACTACCGGTATAATATGACTGTTCAATTATAATTCATCAACGATCGCGTGCGTGGCTGGATGACCCGTCTTATTTGGGGGACATTCTCGTTCCCTCCAATCAATAAAGTTGAACTCGCTCACGACTTGAGCGCGGGTATTTTAATATTATGAAACTGCTCACCTCACCCCCAAAAAGCGAAAAGGAGGAGACAGTATAACAGTAGTCTTCTATCGCGCTGTAGAAACGGAAACAATGGAAGACAATAGACAAGAATCAGCTGAGTCACTCTTGGAAAAGTTCGTTGTCTATCATGATCAACAAAACTATCAAAAGGCAAAGAAGGTTTTGGAGGGAGCGTTGGCGATACAAACGAAAGACTTCGGAGAAGATTCTGTTGCTGTGGCCGCGACACTCTATAACCTTGGAATTGTTTTGAGGGACGAAGGAAATTTAGGCCAAGCTATAAAGAAACTCAACAGAGCACTTGTGATACGCTTGAAAAAATTGGGAGAAAAACATGCTGATACGGTGGAAACCTACAGGAGAATTGGCTGGGTCCTTCAGGAACAAGACAATGACGACCAAGCCGAGGAAATGTTCCAGAAAGCACTGGATGTTCAGCGCGAAGTTCTACCAAGTGATCATCCTGAAGTGACAGAATTGTACCAAGGTCTAGCAACCTCATTGAAAAAGCAAGGGAAGTTGTCAGAAGCGATCAAGATCCACAAACTTCAACTTGGGGCATTGCTTCAGCATGGGGAAGTTTCCCCCGGCGTTGTGCTTGCATATCAGGGCATTGCAGAGCTACTTGCACTTCAAAAGAGGTTAGACGATGCTCTTCAGATGCTTGATAGAGCCATCGAAATTTGCGATCAACTGCGACATTTGGGAGAACTGGGAGGGCGGCTCGACATTATTTTTTTGGGAAGAACGCTGCACAGTAAAGGAGAGATACTAAAAGAACAACGCAACTTCGAAGCTGCCACGGAGGTGCTTAAGAGATTACTCATGCTGCAACTCGAAAGGGTAGGTGAAATGAGCCCTGCAACAGCAGGGACCTATGAAAGTCTTGCACAAGCATACCTCGAACAAAACATGATAGAAGATGCCATCAAGGCGTCTGCGAAAGCCATCAACATTCGTCGAAGGGAGCTTGGCATTGGCCATCCCCACGTGAAAAAGCTTGCGGTCCGTCTTGAATTGCTAGAACGCGATAAAAACATTATTGCACTAAACGAGGAGGGATTGGCAAGACACGCGGAAGGCGATTCGAAAAAGGCAATGCAGCTCTATTACCAGGCAATCTATATCTACAAGAAAACCTGTACTGACAGTCCCTCTATAGGAGCAGTGTTCGAGAGTATTTCGGCAATCAAGGTTGATCAGGGGTTGCTGGAGGAGGCCATTGCCGCGAGTGCAGCAGCACTCAAGATTCGTCGAAGAACGCAAGGCGACGATCACCCTGATACGAAGCGACGCATGGAAGAGCATAGATCATTGCTGAAACGACTCTTGGAGAATCGCACTTAAAAAAAAGCCATGGAGCAGCTCATTATGGAGTCAGTCGCCTCCATGCAAACGAGAATCTTACAGAAACGGTTATTAACTGTCGAGTCCGAAATTGCACTATTTCTCAAGGCCAACTTTTACTGTTGCGCACTGCTCCTTCATAATATTGCAAGCTCGTACCCCTGTTGTTCGGCGTAGAAGCACAAGAAAGAGATAAAAGAACACACGGATAGCACTAGGAAAGGACAAGAAAAGCAAAAGGCAAGTACAACAAAGGGGATAATACGGTATAAAATTCGTGCAATATAGCTAATGTAAAAGTAATCCAATCAATGCAATAGTAATATAACGCAATAGTAATCTAACTCGTAATCATGACATCTTGGAAGTCATCCTCTTTCAGAAAGAAGAATGCTTCAGAATGAAGAATGCTTCATCGCTTCTGCGATAAACAATTCACTAGCGACAGTTTGGGGATATTGCAACGACTCCAAATTCCTTTCTGCTGCATTTCTGCTGCTTCGAAGGAGAGGAAGTACGGGATTCCTGATGATGGCGATGATCCCTTTGTTTCACTCTCTTGACATGGATCTTGCAGGCGTCGTCGAGATTCTCCTTGTCCATCAAGGATGGCATGATGTGGTATGCTGGTCGTTTGGTATTGATCCTACTAATAGTAGTACTGCCAATCTGTTGCTGGTGCTGTTGCTTCAGAGTTTCATTCTTGTCCATTGCTATTCTTGGTTTCGTTGCTGCCACGACCATTAGAGTGGTGAGGTTGGAGGACGTGGGTGTCGTATTGTCCACAGCAAAAGTCGACTTGTCGGACCACGTAGTATCATCATTGGTTTCCTTATCCTTTTCGTCTTTATGTTCCTCCAGCTTTCTTCGTAAGGAGGCTACTGTGGACTCTAAGGATCGGATTCGATTGACATATCCCCGTTCGCGTCGATAAAAGGCTTGTTGATTAGCCTCGAGTTGATTTTGGAGGCATAGCTTCTCACGCTGAAGACAAACCGACAAGCAATGTTTGGAGTCTGCTTCATCTTGCTTGCGATCCCATGACGTCATCCAGCTGCTGAGATAAGAGTGATGTTGCTGTTGCTGCTTGGCTGCTTCTCGACGGCTACGATTGAAGTCATGTTGGGTGGATGCCACCAGAAACTTGTCATAATCTTTCTTCGAGTTTGGGTCCTTGAGAATATCATAGGCATGTTCAATGGTTTGAAACCACTGGAGACTCCTAGCAGGATCAGCACCATTATTTGGATTGGAAGGATGATACATCTGAGACTGCTTCAAGAAAGCTTTGCCAATTTCAGCTTCATCGGATGTGTAGCATGGCAATCCGAGAATGGAATACAAATTGTAGTGATGATACTGTTGGTAGTGGTTTGGGTAGTAGTGAGGATACTGGTGATGATGACGGTGCTCCATGTTCGCTTTCCGCTGAGATGAAAATTTCGAATTGTGAAGCCTTCATGATCGTCTCGACTGCGCTACCGTTGATCGTTGTAGGTACACATGCTTCATAAATTTAGTAGGACAGTGTTGTCCGCGGGTGCTGAGGTTTTGGTGGGAAGGGGCGATACATTTTCAAACGGTCGCCGTGATAAAATGACTCACTCCATTTCCTGTTTTGGTAATAACAACAAAAGGGGTTAGAACTCGCTCCCCCAACTCCCTAGTACATGGCGTGCGGAGGACAGACGATGGAATGATGATTATATTTTTTATGTTTTGACTGTGACCGACTGACTCATCAATTATCAATCATCATCCTTTCATCGTAACTTTGTGTTCTTCATATCCAATTCTCCCTACCGTATAGTCATCAATCAAGCAGTCTCGCATTTTGAAACCTTATCATCATTATGAGGTTATCCCATCTAATTGCCATCAGCTACATTGCATTGGCAGAAGGGTTCCTCAGCAAAATAAGTCAACAGATACCATCAGGAGGATTGACAGATTTCGCTCTGCACGGAACAGCAACAACAACCAATATCAATACATGTGATGTGGCCATCTTTGGAGGAGGGTTTGGTGGTCTCTACAGCGCACTGTCGCTCTCTCGGGAGGCTCAAAAGAAGGGAAAGAAACTCGATATTGCCATTGTAGATCCCTCCACACAATTCGTCTTTCTTCCGCTCTTGTATGATTTGACGGTGGGAACGGCAACTTCGGCCGAAGTGTGTCCCACCTACAAAGACATTTTGAAAGGAACGGGTGTGCGTCACATCCAAGCGTCGTTGGATTGTTTCACCTCGGACGATTTCCAATCGGCAACCTTGTTTTTGTGCAATCATAACAATGAAATAAGCAACAATTCGACGAAACTGGAATTGTCCTTTCGATCGTCAATCTTGGCCGTCGGGAGTAGCCCAGAATCTACACTAGCGTCTGTTCCCGGTGCCACCGAGAATGTGCAACCCTTCTACACGCAAAAGGATGCCAAAGAAACCTCCAGAATCTTGGAGGATCTCGAAGATCAAGCTATTGGTAGTATGCCCAAAACGTCACCACCAAAGATTGCCATTGTCGGAGGTGGTTATGGAGGCGTCGAATTGGCAGCCTGCATCAAACGACGAATACCAGAATCTAAGGTTCGTTTGCTGACACGAGGGCCGCCCATGAAGGGGACACGGGCCGAACAATTAGTGGACAAGGCACTTTTGAAACTAGGAGTGGAGGTGGAACTCTCATCTGTTCAAGAGATTACCAAAGGAGAAGAGGGAAATGACATATTCGTAAAACGGAAACTAGTCAATGCTGGTGATGATGATAATGATGAAGAAAATGACAAGATTAGTAAGGAACCTTGGTCAGTCGTCTTCTGGACTGCTGGTGCTGGCCCTTCGTCTCCCGTCTCGGGTGACATGGACGGATTGTTAAAGTCGGATTCTGGGAGGCTCGCCGTCGAGTCGACGCTTCGATGCATTTCCAATAATCAGCAGAGCAGCGCATCATCATCCTTTCCGAAGAGGAACTCGGTTTGGGCGTTGGGGGATTGTGCCGAAATCCTCGTCAATAAGGAATATGCTGGTGTAGTAGTACCGGCAACACCCAAAACAGCTCAAGCCGCAATGCAGCAAGCAGACATTGTTGCTCAGAATGTCCTTGCAGAGTTGACAGTAAATAGCGAGGCGGCATCCAAGGAATTTCAATATCAAGATCTTGGAACTATGCTTTCCCTTGGAGGACCAAACGCAGCAGTAATGGCCCCGATAGAAGAAAGCCCATTGGCACCAGTCTTCAAACCTCTATTGGATACAGCCAGGCTTGGGTTTGGGTTTGCGGATGAAGCTTTCGTCAACCTCAGCAAATCACCACTGGTTGCAACACTTGGGCTTTCTCCGGTTGTGGATAGCATCGAAACTCTGGGATTGTCTCTTGGAGGATACGGATTGGGCGTCGATAGCGACACTTCACCGGGAACGCTTTCAGGAACTCTGACTGGGGCCGCCAGACGAGCCCTCTACGCAGTGCGAATGCCAACCAACAAGCAACGAGCAACGGCAGCGGCATCCGCAGCAATTTCCACCGCTGCAGCTCTAGCAAAAGAAGCAGCCCAAAATCTTGAAAAACAACAACAATGATAAGAATAATAGGCGATAGTAACCAATGCTCGGCGATATTAAGAAATATGTACAAATATAGTCCCAGTTGTATCCCCTTATTTGTTTCATTAGCCTGCAGTTTATGAGTCGTCGTCGATGATAGAGCGGTCCGAGGGTATGGCTTCATTCTCGATACCATTCCATAAGTCCCATATCCCGTTGCTTAGACTTGGACCTGACTGACAGTCGTTACCGGCGATACCATTGGATTCAGCGCCAAACACTGATGCTGTCCTACCAATCAAAATGATCCCATCAATCAAAAAGTATCAGAGAGTATTACATACACGATTCTTGCCAGCCCAACATGAGCTCTCTCCGCCACACATACAAAGTTTGGAGATCAATTCTTTCAATTTCTCGTCACTTTCTTATCCCAAGACTGGAACCTTCACCACGTTTCCATTATCATCCACGTAGAGGATAATGCGGTTGTTTTCAAAAGGAAAATGTTTCTTCGCAATTTCTCGGACCATGACAATGGCTCTATCAGTGTTGGCTTCGAGGCAAGCCTTTGCTGCTTTGGCGTTCATACCAACAAACCCAGGGTATTTGTCACCATTGGTTCCAGCTCTGATTGCCAGAGCGCACCAATCGGCTCCCTGATCTTCGTCTGTCAATTTCTCCTCAATAAAGATATCGCCCAGCTCGACAGCAGTAGTCGGTTCTTCTTCGCCTACTGGCAACATGTCGATGCGATTGGCCGGCTTGATCGGCACATTGGTTTCGGGAATGTCTTTGACTTTTGGAATGTCGTCCTGGTCTTGAGTCAATTTGATTTCGGGAATGTCTTCGACTTTAGGAATGTCATCTTGGTCTTGGGGCAATTCGACTGGCATTCCATGGTGTGGTATCAACGATGAAGACGGTTTCGCCAAACAATACGTGCAGCACGAACATTCGAATCCTTCTGGTAGAAGATTGGCAGTAGAGGTCGTCTGGATTCCATCCCGACTGCCATTGGCTCGAACCTGATTGTTAGACGGGACCCTTTCATTAGTTACGATTTTGAATCTTTGCTCATCCCCGCCCCTTTGCTTCGCATATGCAGTGTTGGGGTTTACTGTATCGTTATCATCCATCTCGAAATTGTCGTCGTCGTCGTCGTTTCCATAGGAGAGCTGTGCCTGCTTATTGGCAGCAGTGGCTTCGATTCCACCCCGATTGTCATTGGTTCCAGCCTGATTGTCAGACGGAATTTTTTCTCTCGCGAACGCAATATCATTGTAGTCCTGTCTTTCGTCCGGAAATATGACTGGCTGTGTAATCTGGATATCTTCAAGATGATCAGGTACACTGTCGCGTTCATCACCAGAGGCGATCGATGTTTGCTTGTTGACTGCGACTGGCTTGGCAATTGGCGCACTTCCCGTATACAAATAACCTTCTGGGAGATCTCCAGTTCCACCATTGAGTTGATCTCCTGCGACTTCTAAATCTCCTAGTTCGATCCCTTCAATTATGTTTCCATCTTTATCTTCGACTGTTCCATCTTCTTCCAGATAGATGTAATCCCCTTCTTCAATGATTTCTTCGTCTTCATCCAATTCTTCCACTAGCGATCGAGACAGCATCTTCCTGCGATTGTTTCCAAAAAATGAAGATAGGTCCAAGGCAGTCGTAGTATCGCCACCGGAACAGTCAGCTTTCAAAGAAGTGAGTTTTCCTATCTGTTTCAAATCGCAAATCTCTTGCGGCATTGTGCCTGTAGAAAATTATATATTCGTCAGAAATACTGGATAAGTATTGCATGGAAGGACTTATAGTCAGTAACAAAGTGTACATGCGCTTACCAATGAAGCTATTTTTGGAAATATCCAACTTTTGCAATTGGTGTGACGGGATCACGGGAACTTCTCCCGAAAATAGATTGTCCCCGAGATGTAACATAGCCAAGCGAGTCATATTGCCAAAGCAATCCGGCAAGGTACCCGAGAATGTGTTTCCTGTCAAGTGGAGCTCTTGCAAATGACTCAGTTGAGACAAATTCCCTGACAGCGTGCCAGAAAAAGAATTATGCGACAGGCTCACATTGACCAGGTTCATCATTCCAAAAACGAACTCGTCGTCACTAAAAAGACTACCTGATAGGCGATTGTAGGAAATATGAAGATTCTCTGCATGTGAAACAGAAGAAGGTGAGAGGCTTGATAGAACAAGCAGTTGTACGTTGTGCCAACTCGAACGCGTATCACACGTACCAAGGTACTTCAAATTGGCCATCGCTGCTGCAGGCAAAGTTCCGCTCAAATGATTATCTTTTAGCTTGAGGTACCGTAGCTTATTCGCTATTCCGATGGTAGAGGGCAAGCCACCGGTCAACGCATTGTGGCCCATAGAGAGTGTACGAAGTTCCTTCATGGATTCCAAATGCAAGGCGATGGGCCCATTCAATCGATTGTTATCCAAATGGATTTCCTGTAGTTTTGGGAATTCGAACTGGGGAATAGTTCCCTGCAATTGATTGGATCGCAAGTCCAACAGCTGCAAGTCTGCTAATATTTGCAACTCTGAAGGAATAGTTCCACTGAGATCGTTATTGGACAGGTCAATTTCAAAGATATCGCCATTTACTATCGTGACATTGTAGTCCTCGTCTTCCATGCACTTGATTCCATGCCATTGGCAGTAGTTTTCTCCTGTCAGCCACTGATTGTGTTCTTTCCAGCTTGTTTCGTTTGAGCCAGTTAATCTCGGTTCCCGACCAGATGTCGAATAGAACAAGACACCAAGGACATAACGTGGCAGCAAGGCTTCGGATGCTGAATTCAATGCCGCAGGATCATTGCTCACCAACCAATCTAGAGCCTTGGATTGGGCTGTGATCCCATTGCGAAGTTTAGATTCCTCGGCAAATCCAGCGTCCACCAAAATAGACATGATGTCTTCGAAACGGGCAGCTTCATCAAATGTCGGAGCACTACTAAGAGCTGCAGCTGCAGCAGTCGGTGCCGTTGTGATTGACAATGTTGTGGGTTGCAGTATTGGACTGACGACAGGTCTCAATTTTGGTGCAGCAACGGGGTTTCCAAAGTGAGGTATATTTTTTGAGACACTCGGGGTAGATGTTGTAGTTTGTGGGGTCGGAGTGGCAATAACAGGGGCCAGCGTTGCGTTAAAAGTGGGCTTTCCAAAATGAATAAAATTATTTGGAACGCTCGGAGCATAAGTTCGGGTTTTCGGTTTTGGACTGGCGGTAGGAGCCAACGTTCCAAAGTCAGTAACATTTGCAGTCGTCCTCGAATGGTTGGGGATTGGTATTCTGCTTGATGCAAATGTCAGTGCCACAACTACCAAAGACATCATGACTATACTGCCACCAATGAAAAAGAAAATGGTAAGGCACTCGCGAACGACAAAATGCGTTACAGTTTCCTTTTCCTTGGCGCCGCGACGAACCGGTGGCGTGGGCCGTTCTCCTCCTATATGCATGTGATGCAAATGCATATCATGCCAGTGGTGATCGGATGCAAAGTGGTGCTCAGGATTGTCTCGTACGTGCGAAGGAATGTCTTGGTCATGGTCAGTTTCCTCATCATTGAGAAAATCTTTGGCGTACTGCATGGTTTTCAAAAATGCTAGCTCAGTGCCAGGGTTCCGGCGAATTTCCTTCATGGACTGAAACCCAGTGGCAGCCATTACTAGATTCTGTAGGCCGTCGTGGTCTTGTCCGTCGTTTCTGTCATCTTTAGACTGCTCTTTAGGCTGCTCTTCATCTTTTTGTTGCATAGCATTGGACGTAACGGATTGGGTTTGCAGGCCGTCCTCCCCGTCTTTGTTACTGACATTTTTAGGCTGCTGGGCTTCATCTTTAGGCTGGTCTTGAAGAATCTGCTCGTTTGGTTGTTCTACATCTTGTTGCATGGCATTAGCTGGAATGGATTGCTTTTCCTCTTGGCTGTCCTCCTCGTCTTCATTGTCGTGTCCTACTCTGTCACCATCATTTTTAGGCTGCTCGATTGGCTGCTCTTCATCTTCGTGCATGGTATTGACTGCAATGGATCGGGTTTTTCGGTGTTGAAGTGCTCATAGGAACTTGGAACATTCTCAGCTAGATGCCTTTTTTCATTCTTGTAGAGATGAAAGCGGGGAACGAGATGGTTTTTCAACGGACGGTGCGGCTAAATTTTAAAAAAATATGTTCTATTACTAAATACATTTGTATTGATATATTTTAATAGTAGTAGATCCTGCGAAAAACAAAATATAAAAAATATACACAGGACTACTGTATCACTGCAACAGAACAATTGCAGCGACTACAGGTTCATTTCGACAAAGACTATGATCCAGAAACCCCTGCTGCTGGGCAAGATGGGCTGGATGAGCTAGTGCGAAATACATTGTTCGCGTTAGAGCCACCACAAGTGCAAGATGAACTACCATCGTAGCAATTCGAAGCTTCAGGGAATTGGCAGTTCATGTTGCAATCATTGGACGGCCCATGTAATCCTGCGCTGTTTCCACACCAGCACTGATTTGTAAACTGTAAACCCGCAAAGTCTGGACATTGATTTTTAGTGAGAAATTTCTGAATAATCAACAGACGCTGTTGTCGTCGATACTTACCAAAGTTCTTGGAACGACAATAATAAATGCAAGCTTTTTGACCGAGGTCCAGGTAAGGAGAAAAGTGTTTCAAGTCTCTTTGCGATGGAACATCACCCATGCATCCGCAGTACAAGTTATCATCCAACTCTGCCACTGGAGCAACTGCTGCCCCAGACCAATATATGCTGTTGGCAGAGACACCTCCGCAATCCGATTCACCAGAATCCACTGCGCATGCACTGTTACAGGAGACGCCACCTGTGCCATAGTTTCCGTACGAGTTGCCACAGAAGCATAGCAGACCTTCCTGCAAGCCGCTGTATACAAAGCCAATATCACTGCATATTGTCCTGCATCCCGATACCGACGCGCGAACTGATCCCAGAACAGACAAATCTCTGTCGAGCGCATCATCAGAGCCGCAAGCCAAGTACTCGATGGTCGGAGAAATTGTTGATGGGCAAGAAACCGCTTGGCTGGTGCGAAATAGGGTGTTGCTACCAGCACCTCCGCACTCACAATCATTTGTTCCACCGTAACATGCTCCTTCGCCAGTGTCAGTGCAGATATCACTAGTTTCATCTCTATCCTTGTCCACCGTGAAGCATGTGATCGATGTTCCAAATGCCCCAGCCGGTGTGTCGCCGCACCAGCATTCGTTCTGGTATTGTAGACCGGCGAAGTCGTAACCTTCAGACTTGCAATAGCGAATGCATCCAATCTGAGAAAGATCCCTCCCAAAAAAGAATACAAGATCACGGTCACTGGTAATATCTTGGAAGCATCCACAATACAAATCACTTTCCAGCACTGGAGCTGAAGAATAAGCCCCATTAGCCCCACTCATGTAGACACTGTTGGCAAATGGTCCACCACAGTTCTCATCCGCTGAATTGAGGCATGCATTGTTACAATTGCTTCCAGATCCAAGAGAACCATAGCTATTCCCACAGAAACATATTGACCCTTCTTGGATCTGAGACAAGGAAACGATAGACGGATAGTATGTCAGCAAGAATGTGAGACGAAATCATCATTGCAGTATCAATAGCAATAGGCCAAACAGGAGAAACATACCGCAGCGAACGGATATCCGATATCCTTGCAAGAGTCTCGGCATTCCTGCACTTCCATATTTCGTCTGAATAGAATATCCATATCACGTTTCTCGTCGTCTGTGTAACAGCCAAGATATATGGAAGTAGGAGCTGAGGTTGTTGGGTTTGGCGTTGGACCACTAGTTGGGCCACTCGTGGGTCCTGGACTGGGTGCGACACTTGTATCAATTGTTGGAGTGGTAGAAAGATCTATCGATGGAGTCGATGATGGAATCGAAGACGGGCTCTTGCTTGGAGTCTCGGATGGGTTGGTGGTTGGACTGCTGCTTGAGGTTCGTGTCGGTTGAAGAGTCACCCCAAGCTGAGGATCAACTGTCGGAGGAGGAGTTGGAGTGGGAGCTGCACTTGGTGTTGTGGATGGCAATGTTGAAGGGATCACTGAAGGGGCGGGCGTCGACACTGTCGGACCAATCACAGGTGCAGAGCTTGGGTTATTGGAAGGAGTTGCCGTGGGAAAGCTTGTGGAATTCTCGCTTCCAACACCAGTAGGAGCAATTGTTGGTGCTACTGTCGGGTCGTTCGATCGAATAATTTGCACGACAACAGTGTCAAAGGGAGCAACGAGTCCCAATTGCGGACGAATGTCTTGTCCATTCGGAAACACTTCTAAAATGATTCCGGCAAGGTCAATGGCGTTCTCGTTGCCACGAACTCGCAGTTCGAGGTTCAAAGTCAGAATACTGCAGTTAGAAGAATTCGAGTCTTGACAAGCATCATCCGTCAGGGAGACGGCGACGATGGCTTTGGCAATCGCGTAACGAATGCTCTGCAAATGTCGGTGATTTGAGGGCTCTTTTCCGTTCACTTTTTTGCCAATGAGCTGGCGCCGAATGAACGCATCTCGAGGACATCCAAGTAGGTTCGGAACCAATCGTTGCTCAATCTTTGTTTCGAGTTCTGGTACCAATAGGGTAATATCACTGTCATCGGCGAGATCAACCTGCATAACAATATCAAAGTTCCGAGCAGTCATTTGGTCTTCGCCATCGATTGGAAGACCGGCAGCAATACGCTCGCATTCTTCTAGACTCGGTTGTTTGTATACTCCTTGGGTTGGAGCAGTCGATGGGTTGCCACTTGGATCAGCGGATGGGGACGCGGAGGGAGTGGAAGATGGTTCAAGCGTCTCTGCCATGTTAACATTTTCTGGAGCCACATCATTGCTCCCATTTAGTACAAAGAAGGCGCCGACGCCACCACCAATTAGGACTAGGACGACGAGAACAACGCAAATAATCATGTTTCGCCTTTTCTTTTTCTGCTCTTTCTCCAGGCGTTCGGCTTCCATGCGCCCTGCTTCTTCTCGGCGCCGGTTTTCTTCCTCCAACCGTTGACGTTGCCTTTCGGCCTCTGCAGCCATCTCCTTACGCATGTGAGCCATTTCTTTTGCCTTCTTTTCGTCGTCGCCTTCCTCCTCTATCAACAAGGCCGCCACAACCGGCTCCCCATCCCCTTTGGCAGCAATGTCTTCCTCCTCTTTGTTCTTATCGCTTGTTTTGGCGTTTCTGCTTGCCTTGGATCTGCTCCGATCCTTGGAAAATGACGCAGACTCGACACCAGGTCTGGTAGCCCGAGTGTTGCGACGTTCTTTTGCCTTTTCGTCACGTCTGCTCTTAGATCGACCCGTTTGAGCACTTGGAACGGAAGCAGTGGCACTGCTCCTGTTCCTATGAGCGGACTTTTCATCTCGATTCCAGGAGCGAGAAGAAGCAGACCGACCAGAACGGGATTTTCCCTTGGATTTATGTTCCTCTCTTGAAGCTTGAGCGCCAGGAACTACATCTGAAGAATCACGAGCTGATCGAGTCTGTCGTTTGGCATCTCGATCCTGTTTTTCTCGACGTTTGGAGCGGGTATGAGGAGACTTAGAATCCTTGTTGTTGTCCATCTCAGAATACAAGTTTACTGGCTGGTTTGACTGCAATTGTGTACTTGAATGACTAGATGTGTATTCAGTATTTTACAACAAAAGATCCAAATATGTACATGTACCGATATCAGGCACGATGATGACGTATGCATTTTCTGAACACGAATCACCTCCACAAGCACGCTCAAACCAATTAACAGCGAGTTTCAATGCCACGCGTACCAGGTACCACAGGTACAATTAGAAGCAGATGATGAGCGATTTTTCAATTCGTATTCAACCATACCGGTATGCGGTACACGTACGTGTACAGTGAAACAGTGGGAGACTCTCCCACTGATCCCCCTTTTACTCGCGCAATTTACTTGTTCCAAATTCAGTCGAACGGTTCAAGTGTCAACGACCCATTTTTCTTGTCGAAAGATTGTTTGTGTCCCACAACTCCAGTAGGAATCCTACAACTACTTGTGGAATCCCTTAAGTACTTGAGGAATCGTCCCCGTTTGGTTTCATTTGGTTTCGTTTGGTTTCGTTCGGTTTCGTTCGGTTTGGTTTGACAAGATATAAGTGTACATACAGGGTAGGGTCTGCAACTGGTGGGAGAAGCAGACATAACGTGCCGTAACTCTCCAGAACAGAAGAAACAGAAGTCGACTGAGTCGAATATACGGTCGATTGAGTCGGCCGAAAAAGGAACATGAATTTATGTCGTCAACTGCGACATGGTGCGACACGGAGCTACAGGCAAATGTATACTAAATAAATAGCTTACTTTCTGACACCCGAACACCAAACCCCACCGTACATCTCAGTTTTCACGTGCACACCCGGAAAGTAGTAAGCAAAGCTGCCCGGGGAAAAGAAGACGGGCCACTTTGCAGATGAGTAAGCTGCGGTCTGCTGGGAAGAGCCCATTCCCCTACCAGCCTCATGATCATGAACTACCATCTTATAGCAACCAGAAGCTTCGAGGCAAAAGCAGTGCATGTGTCGCCCAAACAGTCGATGCCGGAACCCTTGGAGCGACAAAAGTGAATACAAGGTTTTTTCTTGGAAATTGCTATAAAAGCAAATCGGTCTTGAGTTATCATGTTCTACAGCCCATACACGCTGGAGGACTAAAGCAAGTTATTTATGCTTTCTGGAAAAAGTTCTGACTCTACTCTCAAAGATTCTGAAGCGGACAAATAAAAAGGGTCCAACATCAATGGTGAGACGGTAGAGCAAGTCGTTCTGTGTGACAACATCAAGCAATATAAAATAACAGATATAGCTATATATAAATGATGATTGTTCTACAAGATGTCAGCGTCAAGTTTGAGCACAGATCAAAAGCAACTGATCCATTTTGACGATGGCTACACTGGGCAAGAGACGCCTGTGCTAGTGCGAAACACATCACTCCCGCTAGGGCCACCACAAGTGCATGATGAACTACCATCGTAGCAAACTGAAGCTTCTGGACGAAGGCACTCCATACCACAATCATTCGACAACCCGTAGGTTCCTGCGTTGTCGCCGCAAAAGCATTTCTTTCCCTCCTGCAAACCCGCAAAGTCTGGAGTTTGATGGCATTGTGAGGAAAGAAGTCGATGAAGAAATAATCGAAGCAGTCATCGATATAATACTTACCGTAATTTTTGGAACGGCAATAGTAAATGCAAGCGTTTTGGCCGAGGTCACTGTGCGGGGCTTGATGTTCCAAATCCCTTGGCTCTACCATGTCCCCCATGCATCCACAGTACAAGTTGTCTTCCAAATCTGCTACTGGAGCAACAGCTGCCCCAGTAAAATATGCGCTATTGGCATATTCACCTCCACAATTCGATTCATCCACTGCGGTGCATGGAGTGTCGCAATTTTCAGAAATTCCATACTTGCCGTAGGAGTTGCCACAGAAGCACTGTTCGCCATACTGGACGCCAAAGTAAGTGAAACCGATGTCTAGACATAGTGCCTTGCATTCCGCCACAGAGGAGTAATGTGATCCCAAAACGTCCAAGTCACGATTGCTTGCTAAGTCGTTCCTGCAACCGATATAGTCATCCGCAGGCTGCGCGACACTGGGACAAGAGATCGCTTGGCTCGTCCGAAACAAAATATTGGACTCAACACCCCCGCACTCACATTCATTGGAACCGTCAAGGCAAGCTCCCTTCCCAACAACATTGCAGAAGTCTCTATAGCCATCCTTATCGTTATCAAAAAAGAAGCAATTCAATGACATCCCATATGATCCAGGCGAGTCTCCGCAAAAGCACTCATTCGCGTACTGTAAACCTGCAAAGTTGTATCCCTCAGACTTGCAGTACTGAATGCATGCAGATTGGGAGAGGCCGGTGTGGGGAGCCGAATGTGACATATCCCGCACAATTTCATAGTTGAAATCACCTGTACACCCACAGTATAAGTCACTTGCCAACGCTGGCACGGGAGAAGTCACAACTGCACCACTCATGTACACACTGTTTGAATTCTCACCGCCACAATACTGATCAGCAGAGTTGAAGCACGCGCTGTTACAGTTACTTGCTGTTCCAAGGGAGCCGTATGCATTTCCGCAGTAGCATTCATATCCAAACTGGATCGCGGCGTAAGCATATCCAATAATACTGCAAAAGTCGCGGCATTCCTCGACATCAATCTCGTGCTTAACTGCGGTATCCATTACTCGGAAGGTAGAATCATCTTGAAAGCAACCTAGATAGATGGAAGTGGGAGCTGGAGATGTTGGACTGCTAGTGGGATCGCTGGTTGGACCACTAGTCGGACTACGTGAAGGCGCTGGGCTGGCCCCCAACGAAGGACTGGAACTTGGCACCATCGAAGGAGTCACAGAAGGACGGGCAGAAGTCGGGCGCTCGCTTGGAGTCTCGGATGGGATGTTGGTCGGACTAATGCTTGAAGTCTGCGTCGGCGGCGGAGTCAATCCGGGCTGAGGAGCAACTGTCGGAGGAGGAGTTGGTGTCGGAGCCTGCGTTGGTGGCGCCGTCGGCGGGGGCGTTGGCGGCGGAGTTAATCCAGGCTGGGGAGCAAATGTTGGAGGAGGGGTTTGTGTAGGAGCCTGGGTGGGCGCCTTTGTAGGAGACTTTGTCGTGGTCTTTGTTGGTGCAGGCGTTGTTCCATCAATTGTAGGCGCAGAGGTGGTTGGAGTCTTCAATGGAGCCACAGCTGTGGGAAAACTGGTAGGATTCTCACTTGCAATTTCAGTTGGAGCAATTGTCGGTGCTGCTGTTGGGTCGATTGATCGAATCAACCGAACCACAACAGCATCAAATGGTGCTTGGAGTTGAAGTACTGGATTTAGATTCTCTCCAGCACTGAATACGGTACTCAGAATGGCAATTAGATTCAAGATCCTCTCTTCTTCTCGAACGGTAGTGATGATAGTAGCTGTCATGACAGTGCAAGTACTTGACCCTGTATCATCTTGACAAGATTCGCCTTCGGCTATGCTAAAATTTAACTCTGCCTTGGCAATCGCATATCGAATATTCTCCCAAGTCTCTTGAAGTCGGCGCTCGGAAAACCCTTCACGGGGACAACCAATCAGGTCTGGCACCAAGACTTGCTCAAAACTGTTTTGCAAATCTGGAGCGAGTGCATTTATATCACTGTCATCGGACAGTCCCACATCGATTAGAACATCAAAGCTCTTGATATCCATATTCTCTTCATCTTCCAATGGAAGGCCAGAAGCGATACGTTGACAGACTTCGTCGCTTGGAATGTCATATTTTCGAAAGATGCTGGGACTGTTGGAAGGCTTGCCAGATGGGAACTCGGAAGGACTGAGAGCAGGATCGAGGGTTCCTTCTTCTTCCTTGGTAATGTCTGGAGTCACCTCAGTCGCATCGGCATTGCCACTTCCACCTTGAAGAGCAAAGAAGGCACCAACACCACCACCAATCAAGACAACAATCAAGGCACAAATGATCTTGTTGCGCTTTTTTGCTTTGCGCTCTCGTTCGGCTTCCTTGCGCTCCGCTTCTTCTCGGATACGTCGGTTTTCTTCTTCCATCCTCTCTCGCTGCCTTTCGGCTTCAGCAGCGATCTCTTGACGCATTTGAGCCATCTCGTTCGCTTTCTTCTCGCCTGCATCTTCTTCTTCAACCAACAAGGCCGCAACGACTGCCTCCCCGTCATTATTCTCAACAACAATGTCTCCATCGTTACTTTTCCTGGTTGCTTTGGCGTTTCTGCTTGCTTTGGATCTACTCCGATCCTTGGAAGATGACCCAGACTCGACACCAGGTCTGGTAGCTCGATTGTTGCGACGTCCGTTTGACTTTTCGTCACGTCTACGAGAACGACCCACTTGAGCTCCAGGAACGGAAGCAGGGCCACTGGTTGTTCTGTTCCTATAGGCTGCCTTTTCATCTCGATTCACAGAACGAGAAGAGGCAGAACGAGAAGTACCAGAGCGAGACTTTCTGCTGGATTTATGCTCATCCGTCGAGGCTTGAGCCCCAGGTACTAAACTTTGGGAAGAGCGACTCCCAGAGGCCAAACTTCGAGAAGAGCGTGCTCTTTGTTTGGCATCTCGATCCTCTTTTTCACGACGACTGGCACGGTGTTCGCGAGATTCAGTGCTGCCTTCTTCGTCCTTTCCAGGTCTTTTCGAACCATGTCGTTCTCTAGACCGATCAGATTGACGGGAGGAAGCAGAGTGCTTGGGCTTATTGTCCATCTCAGAATAGACATCATTCGTTGATTTGATTCTCGAACTTTTTTTGGATCGACTGCTCGAGCGACTTCCATCCTTTTTCTCTCGTCTCCGACTGGATTGAGGGCGGGAAGAAGAAGAAGAGTGCTTCGGAATTTCAGCAGCGGCGTCGTCCATGTTTCACTATTCCTTTCTGGGGCCTTTTGAAAGTTTATGGATTGTACACGATGTGAGTTGTGAATTGTGGTGTGCAGCGAGGAAGTTTGGTTTGTGGCTCGGAAGTTTGGCATACCACGTGGCTCGGAAGATTGGGATTTCCGTAGGTACTGTACTGTAGACATATAAAATAATACTTGGTTTCTGTGTATTAATGTACGAGGTAAAAGCCCTTTAATAAATTCGGCATTTGTACACGCCACGAAGTGCCGTGACAATTGCGAAATAATACATACTGTACGTGTACGGTATAACTGTGCATGTGCATTACGAGTAGTAGTCGTAGTGACGTATTTTTAAAATACTTATTCAACGGGTAAAAGAACCAACTGGATTTATCTGGTTTCGACTTGGCCACTTAAATCAGCGCTAATTTGATTTGAATCGACGCTAATTTCATGAATCGAAGACGCTACTTGTACTGTAATTTCAAATTTGATTTGAAGCTCGCGGTGTCAAGAACGGGTTGCCAGACGGGCGGGATATAATGGAGTCGGAAAACAAACGGGAAAGTATAGAACAAAAATGTCCTGGAACGGCCGGGAAATAGAAATATCCAGAAAAGGGTCAGAAAGACAACTTGGGGCTTGTAACGCCGGGAACTGCTTTGAAAGAGATGGTCGCCGACTTACCTGATTTTCAAGATGAAAAGACACTGCTACAATATCATGCTGAAGGTAGGAGTACGGCTGGTTGTCAAATAATGTCCATCAGAAGTCCAAATTGTCATCCTGAAATTGCTGGCGAAGGCATAGAGTATGATTGGGCTGGAATCAAGTCGTATTATCGTCATTCGGACCTAGCATCCAAGAAAACTCTGGAAGCATTCAAAGACTTGGTGAAAGAGAGCATGGAGTCTGTCCAGTTCAATCATCGATCGTCGTTCTCTGCAAGGGCCAGGGAGTACATGCTGGCTTATGATGTCTTGGAGGAGTGGAACAACTTGCCCGAGGAGTTGAAGAATGGGGACCCAGAGAAGGAAAAGTTGCCAAAGACTTCGGCGCAGTTTTTGGACAGGATTGTGAATTGTAGGCGGAAGAGACATCGCGATGTCGGAGCGGATGAGGGGTGGGTGAATCTGATTATGAATGCGATGAAGAAACGAGAAGTAATTGTAATAGACTGAATGGTTGATATGACAAAGATACTAAACATTTCGCAGTACCAGGGTTTTATGTACGTACTGCGACATTCGCATTGTCCAAAATCGATTTTATACCATGCCATGCATTTTCTAAGAAATGCAAAGGCTGGTTTCCGCAATATGGCGGTTCTTTGTTCCCCCTCCTGTGCTTGGTATGGTGTTCCAAACCTCACTTTGGCAGTCTGATCTTGGTTTGGACTGTAGATGAAGATTTTAGACTGGTCCTGGGAATCGTATTGGTGCAATTACTACAGTGACCAGCTGAAACGTATATCGTCTGATATACGGTAACGTCTGTACGTCGCTTCACCATATAAACACAGCTTATCGTGGATAGAAGCACAGGATATCGTTTGATGCTTCATGGCGGCATATTTCACTCCAAGAAAACATCAAGGACACGCACAGAGAGAAACCCCAGCCAGCTTGGGGGTATGTATCCTCTGGTCTCTGGAGACAACACGATGTGTCAGCTACTGTGAATCGTGGCGATTGGACCATGGGGCATATCTTCGACGCCTACTAGTACTAGTACTACTAGGCTAGCTAGTAGTGGTAGTACTTCAAGAAGAAGTTCGTCCTTCCCAAAAGAGGTGATCAGTCTTGCAAGGACCTACATCGTGCATCCTCTAACTCTTGCCCCGACAATGAGACGATATTGAAAGTACTCCAACCATTTGGCCAAGGAGATGAAGTAACAACTCCCTGTCATATCTTGGGGGGAAGACCTAAAGTAGTTTACTAGAAACGATTGTTATCTTTTTCTATACTTCGTTGATTGGATGTGAAGTACTAGTGCATGCGCCCCCCTCAAATAGTTGACATGTAGTATTCCAATAGATACCAAGATGGCTGCCGATCCGAGACTTAGGAGAGAATATATCTGGTTGATTCTAGGGGAAGAAGTGCCAAGAAAGAAGAACATAAAAATAAACGATTCACAGTCAACTAATCTCTTATATTATACTGTGATGTTATATTATACTATGGAGGCCTTCGGCTATGAAGTCATGCATTCTAGGAGCGATGAAACTTGAACAACGGTATCGCCACTCCACCACATCCCTGCTTTTCGTCGTGACAAAAGCCGCCACTAGTGTTCTGGGCTCAATCCAATTTTGGATTTAAACCAGAAGTTTTTCGTATCTCTGCTGGACCCAATGTTTCGCTGCAAAAGGCAAGATTCCAAACAGTCATCGGTTTGACAACGATATCGGCCATCTGGAACGACAGCAACAAGTGAGTATGGCAGTGGTCTTCTCAGCAGAGAACACAGGCATCCAATCAAAACAACGACCCATATCAAATCAAAGCATCGATAGCCTCGTGGACCAGTCATCTCAGAACAGTGTTGATTGTTGAGTCAGGTGATGAAGAAACGTTGTCGAAACTGGAGATGAAGAAGGAATGCCATAGAGCATGTTCTTCACAAAAGAGCACCAAAATAATGCTCCTGACGGTCCTTCGTCCTCATCATGGCCATGATAATATCAACAAGAACTCAACAGACGCCAACACAAAGAGGATCAAGTAGCAAGTTATCGTGTCCCCAATAATGTGGTGGAAATCAACGCCCTTATACGTCCGCGGCTGATTGATATGTTTGGCAACAAAACAAGAGGATTCCAACCTTGCACAACGCCAGCAAAAGTGGGCAAATGTGCATGTGCTGGATGCGAAGCCGAGTCTTGTGCAAAAGAAGGACCTGGAGCGCACCGTTGCAAGTTTTGTTGCAAGTTTGTGGTATCCCCGTCCATGCAGCGTGTTCCATTGAGAGATGATGGGTTGACAAAAGCGATGCCACCAACCCTTACCTGGTACAGGTTTTGCAGTGAGCCATGATTGAGAAAATCCACAGCGAGGCCAGAGGTATTACATTTACATAAATATCTTGGTTTCTCGTGTCTCGTTTCGTTTCATTTGTTCGTTCCATCGATATTGATGTTTGATGTTTTCGTATTTTATATTTTATAAAATTTCACTAGTAGTAATCGTATGCATGGTAGATGATTTCCAGGTATATATATTGCGGAGAAGTATATGATTTTGATATGCGTTTCGTGCGGAAATGCGCGGTAATGATATATCCTTCAGGAAGTCTGTACTGTACCTACTCTTTGACCGCGGGTTTTTCTTTTCTTCGGGACAATAAGACACTAGATTGGCAAGCATGAGACAACCACTTGCCCATAGCCCACTCGAACTGAATCTAGGACTTGTTGACTTTGGCAAATACGCAACAACACCAAATGGAACAGAGAACGCCTTTATAACAATCCAAGACATGTGGGAGGAAGAAGCCGAAGCATCCAACGACTCATCGGACGAAGAAGACGACCGAGACACCTCTACTAGCTATATCAGTCACCGTCTACAGCATTAGTGCTTAAGCATTCGTACGAGTACGACCAGAACACTAGTGTATCAATAGTGTAGCGTGGTTGACTAAAGAGTATAATACTGGAGCGCCGCTGCCATCCCTGTGGTGAAGATTTTCATTTGGGTAAGAAATGAGACCGCCGGTCCTCGAATTTACTAAACACTAATCCGTTGAGCCACGTTTGCACAACGAATATTATCAGATTCCTCGTTCTGAAATAAAGTATAGTCAATCACAACTGAACTATTTACGCGTCATTCTCGGTAGCCTCATCCAGAGCTTGAGCAATTTCCTCTGGCAAATCTGGTTGCAGCCATTCGGGTTGCGGCAATCCTTTGGAGGCAAGAAATTCCCGATTGAACATTTTGCCCTGGTAACGACTGGAGGAATCGCACAAAATCGTCACCAAAGTATGGCCTGGGCCCAACTCGGTTGCTAGGCGTTCGGCACCAGCGACATTGATTCCAGAGCTCATGCCCAATGCCAAGCCTTCCTTTTGAAGCAATTCAAAACAGGATTTCATGGCAGCCTCATCGTCAATTTCAAATGTATAATCGGGAGTAAAGCCTTCCAAATTGGCAGTGATGCGCCCTTGTCCAATACCTTCCGTGATGGAACCTCCTTCCGATTTGAGTTCCCCGTCCTTGTAGAAACGATGTAGTTTGGCACCTTGTGGATCGGTATGACCGATTTTGACATTTGGAAAATGTTCTTTGAAATACAAACTACATCCAGCAAGTGTTCCACCAGTACCTACAGCACAAGAGAATGCCGAAAGGTCTGGCACCTGCTTGATAATTTCAGGAGCAGTCGTTTCGTAATGCGCACGACGATTGTCGACATTGTCAAATTGGTTGGACCAGCATGCGTTTGGCAACTTTTCGGCAATTCGTCCCGAGAGCTTAATATAGTTGTTAGGATGCGCATAGGGCTTGGGATCGACTTCAATCAAAGTGGCGCCTGCTTGACGAAGCGTATCTTTCTTTTCTTTGGTTTGCGATCGAGGAATCACAATCACGGAACGATAGCCCTTGGCATTGGCGACATAGGACAACCCAATTCCTGTATTACCCGCAGTCCCTTCGACAATGGTGCCGCCCGGTTGGATTTTACCATCGCGCTCCAAACCGTCGACCAAGAATTTGGCAGCTCGATCTTTGACGCTTCCACCTGGATTCAAAAATTCCGCCTTTCCGTAAATTTTACATCCAGTGCGTTCCGAAGGGCCCTTCAGCAATATGAGAGGAGTATTGCCAATGGCATCCACAAACCCATTGAAAACAGCAGGAACAAAATCAGAAGACGACGACATGCTAACTCTTTGCTGTATTATACCAGTACCTGGTGCTGTATGAGCAGATTATATATAGCTGAATGGGCATCCCTGATGCGAAGCTTCAAGGCTTCTCTTCTTTTTTCATGTCAAAAGGGAGAAGATCCGCAAATATCTTCATCAGGCCATTGAATCGGTACGAACGGAGTATCTTTTGAATATAACTGATAGGCTATTTTGAATTTGGCATATATTTTTTAGAATACGACCGACTTGTACGAGCTCTTTGCGGTCACAAATTGAAAATGCGTCTGGCATCTTATTCAATAGACAACACAACTGGGAAAGAGAGCATACACCTTGCCATGAAGGGATCTCAAGTAAAGACCATTGCGATTTGATTTTGCTTTGGCCTTTTCTTTTCAAGAGGTCCAGAACCAACAAAGAAGCCCAGCAGTCGTCAATCGAAGTATGTACCATCATCTCTTCGGTTGGAAAAGATTACGATGGAGGTTGCAGAATCTGAATTGCATTACAATGTTAACACCTTCTGGGTTGACAATTACGACTTTCACCGTGATTTGATTGCTTGGAGGTACACTTTTAATTGAATAAACAAAACATGATGGGAATCGGACTTTAGCACCGTGCTTACTACTATTGCATTGTATCGTCAACTCCTTTTCCCAATGGCCGTTTTCGGTCGCTTTGTACTACTGGACTCTTGCTTTCTTCTCGAAAATGGTGAGAGAATCTTTCGGCCCTTTTTGGATCTGGATTTATTTGGAAGGCCGTCGTTGGGCGAAAAGTCAAGCTCTTTTCCCAGCCGCCTTTTCTTGTTCCCATTGGAAACTTCTTCCGTCTTCTTCCTCGTTTTGGGTGACGGACTTGCAATGCACTGCTCGGGAGGACTGTCCACGGAGCAGTCACTGGACCAGTCATTACGCTTCTCCTTCTTTTCACGTCGTCCAGACTTTAGGATGGATGTGTCACTATCAGTATCACTCGACGATGGAGACAATTCATACTGCTGTGGTGGCTTGCTTGCCTTTCGTGGAGTTGGCGAGGGTGACGAAAAGAGCATCTTTTCGCGACGAATATCTTGCACCAAACGAGAGCGAGATGCATTGCTGGGTGATTTGGGGAATGCTTTCCGATCACTAGAAGGCGTTTGCTGGAATTTGGTCTGCACCTTTGATGGTGATGGAGATTTCACCTTTCTCTCGCTCGAGTGGTTGTGAAACCAGACAGGCTTTGCAAGCAATGCTTCGTCATTCTCGGAATCCTCATCGGCATCGTAGCATGGAACGGTTCTCTTCTTCTTTTGATTGGTCCTATTGGAGAGAACTTTCTTTTTCTTCTTTGGAGACTGCTTCTTGGCATTCTGCGTGGCAAAAGCTAGAGTCGCAAGCAACAAGTCTTCGTCGTCGTCACTGCTACTGTCTTCGCTGCCCAAGCCGAGCATGGCATTCGTAAATTGACCTTGCGGCGGTGCTCGTTTTGGCAATTCCTTCTTTTGACTCGTTTTGCAACCTTCCACAATAGATTCATCCGACGATGAGGAACCAATTTCGAGTCCCTTGTTGGATTCCGCCTTTGCTTGTGGCATTTTCTTCTTACTTTTCGATGGTAAGCGAGTGGATCGGGATTTGCCGTTTGGTTTACTTGCACTTTTACTCAAAATGGCAAGTGTATCCTGTCCTTCCAACACCTTTCTCCGTTTCCTTTGTTGCTCCAGTGTCTTTTCAATTCCAGCCGTGAGTTCGTCACTTTCACTATCAGATCCACTCCAGAGAACAGTTTCACGCCGAGCAAGAGAAGTTCGCGCTTTGCGATGATTTTGCAGGACACCCTGAATGTGCTTTGGAACTAGACCTTTGGGGGATGGTCCGTCTTCACTATCACTGTCGGTATCATCGTTCAAAGTCGTAAAGGTAGTGGGTGGGAAGGCTTTGGACCGATTCCTCTTGGGCGCTTTTACTTTGTTCGGTCCCTTGCCTTTTAGAACGGAATCGTCAGCGGAAGAATCGACAGTAATTGGATAGTCTTTGGTACTTCTTGGAGACGTCTTGTACGCATTCTTGTTGACTTCTTGCTTCGAAGGGGCTTGGTTTGTTTTTGGCCTTGTCTTTTTCTTTGTCGTATTGGGCTTTGGTTTGGACCGACCAGTGCCCAATCGAGGAGTTGGTGATGTTACCGAATTGGTCTTGGTAAGTGATAATTTTTTGCTTCTAGCATAACCTCTTGGCATTTTCACTGCTAGCTTTTCGAGCGGTACAGAATCATCGTTGCTGGAGGAAGATGCATCGTCTTCACTCGATGATTCTGTCGATTTGTTCATTCCGCGGACAAGTTGTGGCGTTTGCTTGGAAGTCTTGGTTGCCGTTGGCTTTCGCGCTGAAATTGTTGTAGTCTGTTTAGAATCCTTCCCTCGCCCCTTGCGCAAAACGGGCAGACCCATGGAGGAATCAGATGACGTCGAGGCCACATCTTCGCCCTCCTTGCGAGCAGTGTTGGCGTTTGACAGATGATTCGAACCTTTCTTCTGAATGGATGATACTGCTGGACGTTTTGCTTTTGCTTTTGCTTTTTTACTGCTCAAATCAGGAGATTGGGACTTTGATGGCGCTTCCATCTCTCCTCGCAATGTTGCCATGGCACGTTGTTGCATGTCATTCAGCATCTGTTTGAAATTCGATGCCTTTTGTTTCAAACCAATCGTGACGTCTTTGGTTCCACCTTGCTGAAGACGAAAGGACGTCAGTGGCTTGATTCGGCCGGCATGCTTATAGATCTGGCCGCCATAGTATTCACCAATCCGTTGAATATAGGTATCCCATGGCAACATGTCAGCATTGTCCAGAATCAATGGAAAGGACCTCTCAGATGGCGAAATTCCCAATACGACTGCCTGTTTCACATTGGTGCCGATTGTAAAGACAGGAGGGGTGTAGGAAATGATGTCATTGACACGCAATGGCTCGCGATTTTTCACTTTGCGATCAGGATGGGAATCAAAGCTTCCACACGATGACGAAGAAGAAGATGAGGCATCCGAATCGGACGAGGATGACGAATCAAATTCCTTTTTTCTGGCACTGCTCTTGTGCATTTCTCTTTGCCTGGCCTTCCTTTTTCTCTTGCACTTTTTCTGTTCCTTCTTTTCATCTTCCGATGCTGAAAAGTTCATCTTGTAGGGAATCTCCAATTGACTGAGCGGGGGCTCCACATACGAGTCGTCCTCACAAGCTGATTCGGTCATGGTTTCTGTTTGGGCTCTTCTTTTTATTTAGAATGCAGTAACTGGAATAACCGATGGTATCAGTTTGAGCGATTGGTATCTATCTAGGTTATATCCCAGTGTGAGGTCAATTTGGCATTGTTTGGTGTATCTTTACGCTCCTTCAAGTTTACTAGTCTAGTTCAGACGTTTGAAATTGGCTTCCAACGAAGGTTTTGTTGCAACTGATTTTGAGGGAAAGTCGAATGGGTCGACTCGAAGGAATCGAATGCTATATGCGTGTATAGTTTCTGTGATGATTGATATGGCGCGAAGTTTCTCGTGGCGAAGGAGTGCAAATATGGTTGGAATAATGTTGCACTTGAGCCCAAGAAGATTCTTCAATAGTAGTATACAATTAGATTTTTTTTAAATGCATTTCGCATTCTATCCTAGTAGGCCCCCACCATGTCCATATCTTGTGTGGCCAAGATATCATAGATGCAGTCTTTGCGATCCAACTCATCCTTCAACTTGGCACAGGCAGCTTCGGCGGCTTCCTCGGCAATAGTGGACTCCGCCAAGCGGCGAGTGCGTTCGCCATGAGGATCCTCGGGAAGGAAACAGTGTTCGGGGAACTGAGGACGAGACATCTCATGGAACAGCTTGCCATCAGATGGCAAGACTTGCCATTCCTGTCCGAGTTCATTGAAGCAATTCAATTCGGTGTATCCATCGCGAGCAAGAGTCCTGCCCGTCTTGAATTCACCAGTCATACCAATAGACTTTCCAAAGGAATCTTCGGTTGCCCCAATAATCTTGACACTCACAAACTCCTTGAAGGTACTGATCTCAATCTTTTGCCCGGGGTATGCGCTTTCGAGATCAATCGTGTACTTGTTTCTGCGGGGGCTGATAGTCACTGGAAATCCAGCAAGGTCGGCGAGCTCTCCATGATACTCAAAGTTGCTCCAATAATGAAGCTTGTCATCGTCATCCTCCTGGGCAGCGGATCCCTTCACTTCAAGAATATCATTGCCAATACGAACGGCGACTGTTTCAATGTAGCTCCAATATCGAACAATCTTGGTTCGGAGATGGATATCAAGGTCGATGCCAATTCGGTTGGCAAAGTTCTTGACCTTGGTCATGACGATATCGCACTGACCGTGAAACTCAAAGTGTTCTTCCTTCCATGTACGAACTGATGGAGATGAATGGGAGTAGAGAGAAGTGTAAGCGTTTTGTCGATGTGGACAAGCAATCAAAGCACACGTCAAATTTTAAAAGTACTCACAGTGAGGGTCACCATTGCTTCCAGCTCCATTACTCTCACTTCTGCCACCGTCCCCACCAGAGCCAGAATCATCGCCTCCCGAGCCACCGTCACCAGAAGGCGTGGGAGCTTTAGTTGGTCCAGAAGTGGGCCCACTAGTGGGTCCAGAGGTGGGCGCAGAAGTCGGATATGGAGTCGGAAGTGGAACTGGAGCCGGAGTGGGCGCTGGGGGTGACTCGATGATCTCGGCAGTAATCGTTTCCAGAATTGCGGGTTCGTTCAAGTACGCATCACCAGCTTCGTCGCCCAGTGCAACAGTGTCCAAGATACATCCCAAGTCCCCATTACACTTGGCGTTGTTTGGGTCATTCTCTGCCGCAATGAGCGCGTCTTCAAATGTAGGATCGAATCTGAAAATCAAAAAGAGCGACAAACATAGAACAGGTAAGAGATACGAATGTGTTCCCAGGCATCAAGAACTGTAGGCAACTTACGGTTCCAGGCAGTTGGTGTAACTTGAGAAACTCAAGTTTTCGTATGGGTAAGTGAAGTAAGAGTCAATGGGAGTTCCAATGCACCAGTTATTGATTGCGTAATCGTATGCTGGCTGAAAGAGATACCCGCCGGCACCGCTTGGAATGGTTTGAGGAGCATTGTTCTCGTCCATCCAATCATTCGTCTTATCACCATCTGGACTTCCCAAGAGACCGACATAGTCGTTGTTGTTAGCACAGTCCAACAACACGTAGTCAATGGAGAAGTGACACACATTCTGCCAAACAACAACTTTAATATCCAATTGCAACTTCTGACTGGGATAGGATATGTGGATCATGCTACCACTGAGCAGGACATGGGCGTCGTTTGTTTCAAGATTTTCGTAGAATCCATATGCAGTACCATCCACAAAGAGCTCCACATCGCACTGTTGGCGGACAGTAGAAGGCTTTTCTCCAGTTTGTCCTTGAGGAACCAAGGAAACTTGAACGGTTGGAAGTTTGGCGGTGGCTCCCTTGATCACAATACCAGTAGTCACAGCTGGCTTAGAATTCCAACTCAAAGTGTAGACGGGTTCCAAGCGAGCCTGTAAAACGAAGTCGGTGCTTCGTGACTTCAAGAAGATCATTTCGCTCATAACATGAACATCGTATTTCCTAAGTGAAAAGCACTCTGAGTCAGAAAACGAAAAGAGGATACAAGACACAACTTACACAGGTCGGTAGAACTTACAGGCCATCAAACGTGATGATGTGAGGATCTCCCCATGCGGTAGCAATACAGTTCCCCGTGGCTGGACGTGCAAATCGGGTATCAACGTTATGCTCGTCCACAGAGTAGACAGTCAATGCATCCCTCCCTCCACAGTTACCATAGGCAATTCCTCCACATTCCCGATCGCAGCCAGTCGAAGTACCATGCTTTTGATATTCGGTTTCGGTGTCAGCACAGTAGCATTCCCTTCCAGCTTGTAATCCAGCGAACTTGTGGCCTTCGGTGAAGCAATAGTTGATGCACCTTTGCACGTACACTGGGCCCCTCAATTCACTACCTCCAACATGCGCGGTCATGGCTCGGTCATTCGCATTGTCGGCCCAGCATCCAAGATTTGGAATGGATGGCTGTCCTGGCAAAGGGGTGAATGGACCAGAGCCAGTTGCGTAGACAGTGACCCTCCATGGTCCTCCACATTCCTGCGATTGATCGCCATTGCATTTGTGGTAACAATCAGTGACGGGCGCAAAACCATGTGTTCGATATTCGTTGCCACAGTAGCACTCATTACGATTTTCGAGTCCAGCATATGCAAAGTTGAGACCTTCGCAATACGTAATGCAAGCTTGAACTGTCATTCCCACCGGTGAGTTGACAGTGTGCATATTCTTGGGCCCAACGGCCATGGCACGATCCCAAGTATCTAGTACACATGCAAGTTTTCGTTCTTCAGCCCATGTAGCATGATAAGTACTTGGGGCTGCAGACGGAAACTGGTAATCCGAATGAGTCGTATCGTATACTGTCAAAGCACCAACACCACCACATTCTCCGATGCACTCCTTGTTACAGCTTACTGCTGCATTCAAATAGCCATTCTTGTTGTATGTATCATCTCCGCAGTGGCATTCGTTGCCATTCTGAAGGCCGGCGAAATCTGGAGAGCAAATAAATTCAAGTGAAGTTAGAACGGAATTGTCAAGATATAGTCATTCTGAACACGGGAGTTTAAACGCACCATATCCTAGTTTGAAGCATTCGTCGATGCAAAGTTCTGTGTAGACAGGACTGAGTTCCACTTGGGTCATTGCACGGTTGTTGGAATCATCAGCAACACAAGCCGTTGGGGTAGCAAAGGAAGGAAGTGGTAATGGCTGTTGTTCCACACTGGAATCTGTGGCATAGACGCTTACTGCCCAGGATCCTCCACATTCCTAATGGTGAAAGATACATTTGTAAGACCCAACGTGGTTTTCAATCAATCTTAACAAAGTATGGGCCGTACCTCGTTGTAGTCCCCTGCGCAACCTGCTGAGCATTTGCTTTGATCCAATTCTCCCCAGCGGGTATAATCGTTGTCACAGAAACATTCGGTTCCAACCTCGATGCCTGCGAACGCATAACTAGCATGGGCACAGATATCCACACATATCTGAATGGTCATGGCAGCGTCCGAACTGTATCCATTGGCAGGCATTGCCCTCTCCTCAGCATCTCCAAAGCACCCCATGTATTGAGGTTTCGGCGGATCGACTGCATTTGCAGTCTGAAATAGCAGAAGACTTGTCAAAATAAGAAGAGATGCTGTCATCCTGGCAACAGATGTTTTGCAGCTCCTTTTTTTCTTGGATGAAGTGGCTGTGCTATGCGATTGTGAAGCTACAACTCCCAGGTAATGTCGGCGGTGGGTTTCTGTCAATTTCAAATTCCAGCGTCGGCTCAAAAAAAACTTCGGCGGAAAAACAGCTTCACGTACGAACTGTTGCGTTAAATAAATTCTGCTCTTAAGATATCAACGTGTCAGTTCGAGCATCGAAAAGATTTCCCGAAATGACAGCTTCGGCCGAATGACCGACAAGAGAAACCCGGATCGTCGATTCTGGATGCGATGATCGATTCATTCATTCGAAGGAGGTGTGGTACATGGCATGTTGCTTTTTGCTTTGTCCAACGAAGTTACCGGTTGGTAGAAGTATCCCGAGTTGATCCTACCGGGAAGCCACATACATGTTGATAGCAACCATGGCAATCTGAAGTTGACTTGTGAATGTTGCAATATCTCTCCACCATGAGACACTATACTGAGCAAGCGTAGGGACCGCCGAGAGTGCATGGAAGACTTGCTAAATAGACAATTGAATGTCCGAACGTATTGACCATACACAAGGGGAGTACGTGCAGTAGTGTCTGACATTGATGCCTCGACTCGTACCGCATGCCTAACCGTACCAGCAGAAAACAAATCAGTAGCCTCCTACTGGAATGACCGGTCGACACCGTATACACCCATCCAGGATGCAATAAGTCTTGCTTAAAATACCATGACCGTCTTCCTTCGTGTCAAGATTAGGTCAGTTGCCCAAGACCGGATGGTTCTTGGGAGGGCAAGCTTGGGTTTTCGGGTACCAGTAGACAAAATAGGAAGCTTCCGTTCGCATGTTCAAGTTTTCAAGTGCCCCACCCTTACATGCATAAACGAGTGAGTCTTGGTGGCTGCACCGATTATGATATTCCTCACCAAAACGAGTGGCCTTTCATCATCATGATGTTACCCACAATTTTTTGACATTTCGACATTCAAGAAATTTCTTGCTCAGAGCCACAAAACAGAAAATAATCAGATGCGTTTTCACCTTTCATCCTTTTCCTTGTTCACCTTGGCTACTTGTTATTTGACCACTGCCATCTCGTCCGACAAAGTGATAGAGCAAAGCAATCGCCAGTTGCTTCGGCAACAGTACAAAGGATGCTTTCGCGACAATAGAGCAAGGAGGGCAATGGATTATTTTCATCAGCGATCCGGTTCCATGACGGTTGGCGACTGTGTGTATGCCTGTCGCGAGCTTGGCCATGCATTTGCTGGCCTCGAGTTTTCTTCCGAATGCTACTGTGGCAATACTTATGATTCCATTGGCATGGCCAACAATTGCGACATGACTTGTGATAGCGGAGAAGAAGAGTGCGGTGGTAGCTTGGCCTTGAGTGTCTATGCCACCAATCAAGAAATTTATGGTGACGACTACACATCGTCTCCCACTGCAACTCCTCCAGACAGCTACAAAGGTTGCTGGAATGATGCATTGGATCGTGCCATGGAATATGAACACAAGTCCTTCCAAGGTTTCTTGACACTTCCCAAATGTATCGATGCCTGCACTGAATACGGCGCAAAATTCGCAGGTCTCGAAGTGGGTCGCCAGTGCTTCTGTGGCAATGAATATGAGAAGCATGGACCTGCTGACAACTGCAACCGCAAGTGCGATGGCTTGGCTTGTGGCGGCGACTGGAGTCTCAGCGTCTATGAGACGGGAATAAGCGATGGCTCCATGCGGCAAGCTCGGGGCCAAGGAACATCACAGTGTATTGCTACTGGTTGGGGTGACCCTCATGTCGTCACTTTTGATGGACTTTTGTACGACGTTCATGTCCTGTCGGAAGTGACAATGCTCAAGTCCAAGAACACTGACTTTCAGATTCAAGCACGATTGGAAGCGGTTCCTGGACAAAAGGGTGATCCAGCAGTCACCACGGGAGTGGTTGTGCGAGAAGCCGATGCTACGTTGCCCACCATTCAAGTATCGTTGGCCCAATCTTCCAATAGTGAACAGGCGGTGACCTTTCTGGATGACTGCCATGTTCAACTGTTCGTGAATGGGAGAGATAGAGACATTACCACAGGCTCTGGTCGAGACGATGCTATTGTGATTGTTCGGAACCGGTTGGTCAAGGTAGAATATCCAAGCACAAACTTGGTATTGGACATTGAGATCCGAAGTTGGAGCAATACTTGTCACTTGTCCATCGATTACATTCTCATGGATTGCCGGCCTGACGATGATTTGATTGGAATTCTTGGATCACCTGACGGAAATAGAACCAACGATTGGATGAATGAACATGGTGAGCCAGTAGAAATACCAAAGGGAGTCGATGAACATTTCTTCAAGCCTGCGTATGAGTATGCCTTGGAGCATTGGTGCATTGCCAGGGAAGAAGACTCCTATTTTACTTACGAATCAGGAAAGGAGTTTTCTGATTACGAAAACTGTGGTAAAGAGTAAGTCGGTGAGAAGATAAAGCATCCTCAACGATGGTCAATGTTGGAAGTGTGGATATTCCGCTGGAATGTCGAGGAGTCAACCACCATTTTCAGAATTTGCTGCCCAATAACGCGTTGGTGAAGACACTTATTATTCGACGATCCATTTGAATTAATTGTTGATGATGATAACATATTGCTTGCTGGCATGCGATCTAACGAGTCATTATTTCCTTTTCTCCACTTCTCTGTTGCATCTCGCATCCAAATAATCGAATGAATCAATCAATCGCATCATAAAATAGCTACAATCCAACGTTGGAAAACATCATCAACGATGCCAAGCAGGATGAGAATAACGAAAACGTCAAAATATGTGGGGATGATATCGGATGCCTGATTGAAGGAGAAATCTTGGGTACCGAGGCAGCCAAGGTATACCTAGAGGAACCAGCGATTGTTTCGCTTCCTCCTCCCACGAGGATGCCAACCAATGGACCTACCATTGCTGTTCAACCTTCCAGCATACCGACGCTTGTGCCAGTACCATCAGCTGAGAGTGAAAGCATATCACTTCAAGAAATTCCAAAAATCCCACCTTCTGGAAGCATGGGAGATCCCCATTGTGAGTAGTATTCTATCCACCTGATGATTTTTATTTTGCGAACCCCTTTTTATATTTCAAGTCTGACACTTTTCTGCTATATTCTGATCACAGTCCGCACTTGGCACAATGAACATTTTGAATACCATGGGCAGTGCGATATGATCCTCGCCAAGGATCCCAACTTTGCTGATGGCCTTGGGTTGGAAGTCCAAATCCGAACCAAGCTCGTTCGTTTCTGGAGCTACATCAAGGCTGCTGCCATTCGTATTGGAGATGATATCTTGGAGTTGGAAGGTGTGGTGACTAATAGTGGTGGAAACATAGATACAAAATACTGGATCAACTTTCATCATAAAGGGGAGCTCACAACTGTTGGAGGATTTCCTGTGACCCTTCACGCAGGCAGTCATGACAGACGTACTCTTACCATTGACTTGGCCAGTCATTTCCCCGGTCAAAAGATTGTCTTGGGCACCTATAAGGAGTTTGTAAAGGTGGACTTTGTCAATGCATCCGTCGAATCTTTTGGAAAATCGATTGGTATATTGGGAGATTTCCGCAGCGGCAAGACTATGGCTCGTGATGGTAAGAGAGAATTGCATGACTTTCGCAAGCTTGGTCAAGAATGGCAAGCCCTTCCTACCGAAGACATGCTCTTTCATAATGTCGAACAGCCACAATTTCCCAAAAAGTGTATCGAGCCAGAAGATCCTCGAGGCCAACGTCGCCGCCGACTCTCCGAGAGTACAATCGCGGAAGAGACTGCCGAAGCCGCTTGCGCCAGTTTGAAGGATCCACTTGATCGCAAGGACTGCGTCTACGATATCTTGGCAACACAAGACATGGAAATGGTTGGAGCCTACTGAGGGGGCGCTGGTTTCTTCAATCAAAGGGCTTCTCACTGGAGCGAGAACGAAACGAAGAAAAGAATTTGTGTTTTAGGATAGATAAATAATCAAGAATAGTCAAAACAATGGCAGCAGAGCAACACTTGGGTCTCGATACAATATCACCTAAATTTACTATTTTTTGGAAAGTACTGCAGAACAGAAACGGCTCAGAATCGAGTTCTTGCATTAGGAACCACTTTTCGCCAGCCATCCATGTATTTGGACGACACGAATGGAGGGGAAGACGACCGCTTCCCACTCGTAGTTGTACCACTCTTCAGCTTGGCGACATCAACCTTGCTGTCTCGCTGCGGCCGTGCTTTCTTCTTTGACATATGCTTGACTTTGACTTTGGCTTTTACTTCGACCATTGGAATCTCATGGCAGGAATGTCGGTCGAGACTTGGATCGTTTTGAAAGCCAGAAACGATGGACGATGATTCAGCCAGCTTGGAAGACCTCTTGGTCGACTTGGAATTGCTTTTGCGGCTTGATCTCTTCCTTACGATGGTCGACCTCGTTGATTTCGGATGGTCTGCTAGCGACAATGACCGACCTGAAGGAAAGGTGTCTTTCGTTTGCTGGCTTCGAAGCTGTCTTGAATCCTTGTGTTTGGCCAACGGAACAATTAGGAAAGGATTTGCAGTCTTCTTCTTCTTCTTGCTCTCGGTGCTTTTGCTACTGCTGCTTTTGTGATGACGGCTCCCTTTGTTTTCCATTGATCTTGACGCCGGTACTGGAGTTCGTGGTGGGGAAAGCGACCTTGCGGCAATGGAATGACGCTTCCGATGACTTGATGAGGGCGACTGGCTCCTTGTCCTTCTTGCAGTCATTGTCGGCGAAGCTGACGGTTTCGTTCTAGTTCTGGAAGAGTCCGAGCACGAACAATGACGCCTTGATCGACTTGATTTCTGTGATGATTCCCTCTTGCCCTCTTGCAGTCTCGACGATGGTGACTTGCTTCTTCCTTTTCGAGACTTGGAAAATCCATCCCGTGCTATTGACAGCGATGCTTTTGTGTCAGTAGTAGAAGAATGATTCCCA